TATCCTGCGTTTCCCTTATGCTAATTTGCATATAATCATAAGCAATCCAACAGTAACAATCATGATCGGCCATTTGAATTAGTTTTTCTAAGAGTGTCAACGCGTCTGGAATTTCCGTAAGAAATGCCTGTAACTCATCAACGAAGATGTGGAATCTTACCTCATTCTTCTCCAGATCCCTCAACTCAGTAGGGGAGAGAACATCCACTCCACTATGAATTTTATGCTCTACAAAAAAGGCCTGGAACAGTGCTTTCAGAGATGAGGGGACCACAGCTAAAACCTTTTCTCCGTTCTTGGCGTTTTTGACGCATTCCAAAGCTTTGAACTGTAGCAAAATGGTTTTCCCACTGCCACTAGAACCGTTGAAAAACTGATGGAGTGGACCATTCCATATTCGTAGCTGATCAGGATTAAGGAACATAAATTGCTTCGCCAACACAGCTTCTGCCTTTTCGACACCTTTGGACCCACTTGCCGCCTTTCTGGTGCTCTTATTATAGCTCGTTTGAAGAAATTTCTGCTTTTCAATCTTCACGCAGACGTCTGTTATGACCGCATCAGCGCTGACTTCAGAGCTTTGACCGACAAAATTCGAAATAAGATTTTGTACCTTGAACTTGTCGTGATGGCCAAATTTCTTTTCAGGAAATCCCTTTTCCCACCAACTCCTAAAATCATCAACCGAGCGTACTGTTCTTTCTCGAAGATTAATGAAAATTTCACTTTCATAGCAACGATCATTTACATTGGGCATCGCTATTACTTTATAAACAGGAATGGCGATTTTATGCTTCACATCTTGCTGTAAAAGAGCGTGTATAACTTTCTCTGCATTTTGAAGCTGGGATTTCGCTTTGCGCTGTACTGAATTGGAGAAATTTAAACCCGCCTTCACCTCGACGAGGATGACTCCAATTTTTCGGTGAATTATCAAGAAGTCGATTATTTCGAGATCTTTGCCCAGAATCAATGGAGAATTGAAAATGGCATGATCGGCTGGTAACTTCAGTCGAAGAATAGTTTTGATGAATTCCGATATTTTCAGCTGTGTAAAAACAAACATCGGCTGATTTGTGCTCTTGCCAAACTTCTCAAGCATATGAAAAATTTTTAGTTCGGCGTCATCACCCCGTAAGGTATCCTGCTCGATTTTAGAAAGCGCTGTCGTGCCAGAAGCTTGACCAGTTGGAGCGACGTATCCAAACGAAAACACGGGAGGGCACATAACCGTTCCATGATCTTCTGAATTTACACATTCAGGATAGATTCTGGCAAAATTATCTTCGCAAGCTTTCGCCAGATCAGAAAAATACTGACCTGCAGGCCCTTTAGTTAAAACAAAGTGTTCCGCCATGATTGAACTTCGCTGGAACTTGTTTTGGCCGCTTCCGGGTTGAGGTTTCATTCGCCTGTGATCCTCTTTTCTAAGCTTATGGAGCCGAAAACACCGAAAGTGAAAGCAGAATGTAAGAGGGAAATTACATCCAATTACGCCAACCACATCATCACAATTTGCACTGAAGGGAAATAACAAAAGTTTTCTGCTATTTTCTTACCAAATATGGAAATAATTTCTGCATTCGAACAAAGAGCATTTCTAAGTGAAAAAAGAAACAAGGTAATCCAAGGAGACCTAAACCTAAAATATGACCATCGGCACTGTTGCGTAACGTTCAAAAATATACATGGATTTGTACGAGAGAAAAAAAGAATTTATTGTTTCTGTAGCCTACGACTAATGTGAAAAGATTTAAAGAGAATCAGCTAACCTCGCTTAGGTTGTGTGTATCTTCCCTCATGTGTCGTTTTCGAGCCGATTTTTTTTCTAAACCTGCATGATCAGAGTTTGGTAAGTGCGGGGACTGTCTAGAATCAAGTCCCTCGTGCAGGCTAGCTAACCGCGCCTGTATATTGGCTTTATTAGTTGAGTTAGAGTCAGTGGACGTTTTATCTGTTTAAGTTTAAGTTTAAGTTTAAGTTTAATAATTCTTTTTACCAATGTACAAAATAAAAATATATATACATATATAAAAGTACAATAGGTAAAGGAAAGCAATAGGGGGAAACTGAATTCCCATATAAAAATTGCCCTCCAAAACGAAAAGATAAAACAATTAAGAATAGAAAACTAATACATAACTATACTATAAACTACTTAGATATTAAATAAAAAAGAAAATCCAAATTCAGTAGGAAATGGAAAAGACATATAACTATTTACAAAGATAATTAAGTAATAAAGTTTTAAAAGAGTTCAAACTGGAAGCAGACATAACGGAGTTTGGTAAAAAGTTCCAGTCATTAACGTAACGATTAAAAAAAATGTTTATTGGACGGTCATGCTTGGATCTAAGTTTGGTTTTAAGTTCGACAGGGCAAGATAGAAAAATTGGTTCAAAAGCTAATATGGACTTAAACTTAAACTCATCAAAATTTTGTTCTTTTTTAACAAATACATTTCGATCACCCTGCGAGCAGAGGCTACATTTTCGCGGTATGAGCTGGCGTGGGAAAAGTAGCTACTTTTCGCACGCCAGCTCGTACCGCGAAAATGTGGTGGTTTCTTGGTGTTGCGGACACCAATGACGTAATACAAAAGATTGAAAAGACACTGAACAATACCCACACCACAACACAAAAGCTAACAAACAATAGTTTCCGCAACACCAAGAAACACCCGAAAATGTAGCCTCTGCTCGCAGGGTACATTTCGATGTGACCACTATCAATGTTTTACATTGTGCTGAAAACATGCAATAAAAGTCATACTAAAATGTGCAAACCAGGGAGGTATGTATGGCAAGAAAAAAATTTGAAAAATTAGCATAACGTCAAAACAATGAATGTTGTAACCCAGATTTTTGGTCGTTTCGTGGTCTAGGTTCGTCTTGAAATTTCAAGGTGTTGCAGTGAATCAATGTCAATGAAGTTTCAGACAATATATACATCATGGAGATTGTGTGATGACGTTTAAAAAGAATTCTGTCGAGCGGTTTTAGAGATATACAGAAAAGCGCTAAAAGTCAAAATTTGGAATAAAGTTTCACTTAGACAGGTGGTGAGAAAACAGGTCAGTTTTCAGGATCGCAATAAAGAAAATACACCAAAATTCCCACACATTGAATAATGGTATGAAGCAGCCTTCTGACGCTGCTTAAGATTAATTTGAGTTATTTCGAACTCTTTTTTGATTAAACAATTTATCACGGCTATTGAAAATATAAGGTTTGAAATATATTTATTTGAATTTAAGCATACAGAGTTTTTTACTTCTCACGGGGGTTATTTGCTAAACACCACACTTTGAGTTCCTGGTGTCGAATTTTCAGTAGCAGGTCTAGATCGCGCGAAATTCGGATTAGATCGATTTCAAAGTTTTTTGTTCATTGTTGTCATAGTGATATCGATTTTACTAAAAACTGCATTGTGACAAACTTCGATTCATAGTCAGTCACTGGTGAAAAACTTGTGGCGATCAAACAAGGATAAAATCACTTCTAGAGCGATTGAAAAACATCGGTATGGTCAGCGAGAAACTGTATCGAAACACCTCAAGGTTCGTTGCTTCTGACCGTCTTGTTTTGGGCAATAATCGACTAGTTTGGTTCAAAGCCTTTTCCCATCTTAATTAAGAATGTCTACCCCACTAGCAAGAATAAAGCAGTGTCTGGTTCCTTCCCTCGACAAAAATTTCACTCACCATTGCGATTTCCTTCGCTATTCTTAAGCAGTCTAGACAAAGAGGGAATAAACCCTCTTGTGTCTACAGTCATTGTCAGTTTGGTTGTTGCGGGTGAAGCTGGCTGAGCGCGTTTGGTTGTGATTTGCATTAACCCCGCCCTAGCTCAGATGATTGACGGAACAGAAGAACCCAAATCCCTTCGAAGTTTGCAAAACAGGCAGCGCGATACAACGAATTTGGCTGCAGATTTATTATTTTGTGTTTCACAAGGAATTCTTTTGCATGCATCAAAATGCCCATTTTTTGAACCACGATAAACAAAAGCAGATTGCTTCCAATAATCGGAAGGTTTCAGAGGTTTGAAAAACAACAACATTGAAAACACCACACCTCCAGACTAGCGATCCCTGTCTGCGGAATATTGCAGACTTTTTATCCTCGTAATATTTAATCATGACAAGTAAACTTGTGAACTCAAGGAATGTTTTAATGATGACAAGCTCCTCTGCCTGCGAAGACAGCCATTATTTGTGGTCGGTGTATTTATTAACAGCTTTAAACTGTTCAACTTGTTCACTTTTTTTGACCTGGCTTCCCTGTTTTCGATGCCTTTGGTTGGGAACTGCTATCTATTCTGAACCTGTCAGACGCTCTTCTAAGCCTTTTCTCTACCCAGCCATTAGCCTGATGAGTAGTTATTAACAGCATCTGTTACTTTATGTCTACCAGTTACGTTTTAATGTGTCTTCTAATTGTCGTCACTTCAGGCGAACAAACACCAAGAAAAACATCTTTCTTTTTCACTGGCAATTTTGAAAAATGTCTTACAACGGCCTGTCTTAATTAAGCCATCTGAAATTACTGTAGAGGATCATTAGTTAGAATTACTTTGGGAGATATTTCTTAGTCTGCCAAGCGTGACCCTGTTTAGTACATCGTCAAATGTCCTGCCTTAGCTCTTCGTTGTGTGAGAATCTGCTGCTGCAGTACCTCGTGTTGCAATAGGAACAATTAGTGTGGGCACATTGAGCCATATGTTGTTTAGTTCCAAGAGGCTCCTCTCAAGTGTGAGCCTAGCTGTCTACTGTTTTGTTCCAGTTCCTCCTCGAGAGTGTACTCTGCTCCAAAGCCTGTTGCATTAAGATCATCAACTGGAGGTTCCCTCTGCACTTTCTTGTTTTAGTCCCTCCTCGTGTGTGTACCCTGCCGCAATGCCCGTTGAAATAGGTCATTAACTGGAGGTACTCTCTGAACTATCTTGTTTTAGTTCCTTCTCGTGTGTGTACCCTGCCGCGATGCCTGTTGAAATAGGTCATTAACTGGAGGTACTCTCTGAACTATCTTGTTTTTGTCCCTCCTCGTGTGTGTACCCTGCCGCAATACCTTTTCTCCCCTCCACTGCTTTGGTTACTGGTGTTTCACCTTGCTTTTGCTCCAGCCCTCTCCAAGATCTTGAGCTTAGGTACTCCGCTAGATTTAAAGTAATCTTGTCAGTAAAAGGCTTCACGCGCGGTGCTCCTGCATGTAGCCAATAACAATAATTAAGACAATGAAAGAAGTTCTTTTAAAAATTGCTTAAACGTGGGAAAGGCCTCTGTTTACTTTATATTAGTTTAAGTATTTCGCAGTACACTGCGAACCGTGATAATACCACGAATTTGCCAAACCAGGAAGGGAAACTAATACGGGGAAAAGTTAAGAACATCTCGAACCTGCAGAAGTGTGGTGCTGAGTTGATAACGTCGTTTCCTGATTTCGCTCGACCAGTGATGTGGAAGAATGACCAGCTAAAGTGAAAAAAAAAACAGACCAAAATAGAGCTTGTACTGCAGTAGTACAAAATGACAATATAAGAGTGAAATGAAACTTTGTTATTGTGATCTACCATCAATCAGAGTTTATTAAAGTGATTTTAGGTCTTTTAGATGATCGGTGAAACTGATTTCCCTTTTTGGGGGTAGGTGACAAACTGAGGAAAAAGCTTTTTTAATAATTACCTAAGAGAGATTAAATCCCTTATTGGCAAGGAGAATAATGATCTTTTGTCGCGATTTTCAATGCAAACTTTCCCAAAGGTACAAGTCAGACATAATTTAAGGACGATTTTCGTGAGATTCTGCTGCAATATTTGCTGCGAATCACGTCCGGCGAAATATATATTCAAAGCTATGAGGTATCGCGACGATAAAGCACTAGCCTGCGTAGCAGGCGCTTGGAAGTAGTGGGCGAAAGAGAGAACGGGAGCGCGCGAGGGAGACTTTATCCTCTTCTGGTTTACACTTGCAATTCTCACTGAAGCGTCTCAAACATGATGTTAAGAACATTAAAACTGCAAATTTTATCACGTGTAAACTCTCTAACCTGCATCTTCCCTGGATGAATCGTAAGTGACTCTTAATTTTCCAGTTATCAGAGATACATCTGCACTATCACTGGACTGGTCGGTTCCCTGTGTAATAACAAACAACCACGTCAGGATTTGAAAACTGACTTGTGACTGGACTATTTACTGGTATTTATTTCTTCGATAAAACGCGTAAGTTAGACGAGCCTTGGGAATGAACGAAAGTTCGCGCGCGGGTGGCCCTCGTGCTTCGTGGTCGAGCGCGTTGCTCTCGCAGTTTGTCGTGTGCTCTTTCGAGATTCATTGAGAAAAAAGAGAGTCTGTGACAAGTCTGGTTCGCGATTTTCATTCATGTTAAAGAGATGGTCAGAGTAGATTCCTCTGAACAATGACGCTAAATATCTACATCTTTCCCTGTACAGTATTTGATTGTGTCGGTAATATCGTTATGACATCACACCAAAAAGGTAAGAATCTGGTGACTTGCCTTTATCGCAGAAGTAGTACGTCCACTTGAGTATTGTTTCTCAATACATTACTCATGTTGGGCTTGTAAACATGCATTTAATCCTCACAACAAAATACGACTTTGTTTCTCGTTTCTTCTTTCAAAAGGCCCAGTAACACCAGGAATTCTTTCTAGCATTTAGTCTGACAATGTTTGCCTGTTTAATTGTTTGTTTGTTTGTTGCTGTTGTTGTTTTGTTTTTGTTTTTTGCCCACAAATACACACGTAATGTGTGTGCGGTATGAGATAAAACAATTATTGCCCGTTTGGGGCTTGAAGAATAGTTGACGGTTTGTCTTACCTCTTCGTCTAGTCCGACAGAAGCACTCGCACCTGAAAACAAACACATTTACTCATTAGAGATCAAATTTCCCTTTTACCTCAGTCAACGGATAAAAAAAAAAGAACAAAGTTAAGCTCAAACCTGGTAAGAGATCTCTAAAATCAGTGATATAATCCCCTGTCCATTCCCGTTCCCTAACAATTTGAATAAACAGACGATAAATCGAACCTGCTTCAGTTGTTGTAATTTATAATATTATCGAACTTAATTAGCTTTCATGCATGTTGAGAGTGGTTAAGAATAAAGATTTATATTCCGAATCTTGCAACTGTACAAAGTGAAAATACTGATCAGTAACTGCCAAGATGGTTTTATTGAATGGTCAAACCATTGAATTTTGTCCATACATTTTTACAAAATAAAATGTATTCCTGTTTACTCCAAAGAGACTGAAGCTCCTGTTCTTTTGCAGGCCAACAGCGTAGGCAGACCTTGTCAAGGTCCCCTGAATAAAATATTCTGACGAGTGACTCTTTTAGAGGAGTAAAAGAGGAAAATAAGTTTCGTAATAATTCAAGAAAATGTGTTATTTACTTAGTTACCGGTAATATGAAGAATTCGACCATTTTAATATACTGCAGAGTAAACAGGACGCCCATGCGGTGAGCTTTACTTTAAATTTTCTGTTGGGGTAAAAAAAGGGGGAAGCAAGCTTCGCAAGAATCAAAGAAACGTGCTCTTTACTCAGATACAAAAATGGCTTGCAGTTGTTATCAATCCTACCTTATACAAGCTAATTCCATTTCAAAAGGTGTTACTATTGGTTTGTAGAATTCCTGTTTAATGAAATGTGAGAACTCAACAAACATTGAATAAGGGTAACCCCAGAAAAAAATTATGAATACTTTTATTCTTGATGACGCTGGAAATAGATAAAAAACTCACAATAATAAATTATTATCACTATCACTTACAATCACTTTTAACAAAAGCAACCGAACATGTTCCACTTGATTTGACCTTACGTTTCTGTTGTACGTTTGCCTTAGACTAATAAAAGTTTACCTTTTTATTTGCTAATTATTCTTTTAATATTAATGATTTATAGCTTTTAGCGGTGTGGGTATTTGTGACTATAAGTTCTTTAAAGTATTATCATTGATCTGCTTGTTTAGTTTGAAGCAAAACGTAATACGCCAAAAAATTTTCTTTTAACACAATAACATGTAGATAATGGGAATTTTATATTACAACAATTGAGTGATAAAAAAGAACACTTAGAAGTGCATTTAGTCTTTGCAAATCCCATTATGGCTCTTGGTCTTTGGGCACCTTCCAAAAGTTAGAACTGACCGGCGGCACCATGGCTGAACCAGTTATTCTGAAAATGAAATAGGCTTTTTCCAAGGGTTTTTGCTGAAAAACCATTTCCCTCGTACATACTTAAGATTTGACTGATCTGGCTGGATAGTTTTGATTAAAAGTGAGATTCTCGTTACGTTGGCAAAGGTCTGGCCTGTCAGTTATGACAGACGGAAACTGCCGCCCTCAATTTAGCAAAATCTATAATTGCATTGCAGATATCTCACTGAATTATACAAACTGTGTAAGGAACCTCTTATTGTTATTGTTAATAAATAAAATATATATAAATACCTTAGAATCGATTAGAGTATTTTCAGGACAGGCTACTAACACAAAAACATCAATCTCCATGAAGTTGGCCATTTTTGCTACATTCAGCTTCCCCATGACAAACAGATAAGACTATTAAAAAACAATGTAAAAAACGTAAGAAATAAAGAAATTACTTGGGTGGGAGATGTCAAAGATAATGAGAAAGGAAAAGCATTTACCCATCGCAAAAAGTGTCCTTTTATGACTCCATGAAAAAAGAATACCCATATGTGTTATCTTAACTGATGCAGTTGTAAATCAATTGATAAGAACAAAACTAATTTTTGTTTCACAAGTGGACCAAACAAGGTTATGTGGCACGATGGTGTAGACAATAAAATGTAGGCAATTGCATTTAAATGCATATCATTCTGTAATAAAAAGAAACTAAAAAGGTGGTTTGAAAAAGCTGAAAAGAAGGCTTCACAGCTTACAGAACAAAGAACTAAAACACAATTTAGGATACATTCTACAGGTGCATTTAACAGCCAACGCATGCAGTGAATGTAAAAATTCTTGAGAAAGTAAATGCAAAGCTATTGCAGATTTATAGCTATCATGAATACATAGCTAAATTTATCATACGTTACAGAAAGTTCTATCTTGATAACAAAAAAATCTTGAGTTACGTAATATAAATTAATGGTAATATGATTATCGCTTAGAAATCCCTTTTCAATCAAGTGGAAGGTACCTTTTTTCCTGCCAACTTTATAACCTTTTTAAGTCGTTCAATTGATTGTAAGTAATCAGCTGTGGAAAAAGAGATGACCATGATCAGCAACCATTTGACGTTTAATACATTAATTTGCAAACTAACAAGTTTTTCTTTTGCAAATTATTTACAAGGGTTCTCCTAAAGCTTTGGCAATTGGTGAAAATCACCAAACACAGAAGCGCCAGCAACTCAGAGAAAATAACTTTTAACTTCAAATAAATAAATCCATATTATTTGTTTCTCAAGACTTTTGTTCAATAAAAACAAATATATGATATATAAAATAAAAGTAAATGTTGGTAAATAAAGGAGCTAACCTCATGGCTAGCTAAAATTTGTAGCCTGGTCATTCAAAATGTACTAAAAGTCAATTTCCAGGTTCTCCAAAATTAAAACTCCCCAATTTAAGGGAGTCAAATCTCTCTCATGCCTAACCCATAATATGCAGCTGTACCACATTGCAGGCACTCCCTATTTCAATGGAGCTACTCTTTTGCCATCTACTTAATTTTTTACTCCTTCTATTTTAAATTTTCTGGAGAACACAACAAGTAGCTCTTTGTCTCTGAATTGTTGATATCATCAAATTGCTATTACATTATCACTAGAATAATAAGCCATATTTACCTACACCTAGTGTTCCAACTACGATTCCAATCACTTGTGCATCCTTAGCTCTCTCAATCATATAATACCTATTTATATTAGACAAGGAAATTTTAGGTTGTACACCTTTTGCCCTTCATTACCAGAACTAATATTAAATAGCATAAAAATAGCCATCTAGAAAGTTAATGTTAAACAGCTTAGCCAGTGAAGAAGCAATCATTTCATTATTTGGGCACAGTCATTAAGGATTTTTACATTGAAGACAGTCGAATCTCTTCTTATGGACACCTGCATAATATGGATGATCTCCCTATCATGGATGGTTTTATTTGTTCCAAAGGGAGCAATTCTCACACAGTTTGTATTTCTATACAAGCATGCCTCTGTAGCGTGGAAAGTTGGCTCTGTCTTTTGGTATCCACAATAAGGAGGTTTGAAGTTTGTAGTGAAAAAGATTACAAGTCTTTCAGCAATGATAAACACCAAGTTACCCACCTTTTCATGAGAGCTTTATTAACACTAACCGTCTCCTTCCTTCCTACATCAGTAACAGGATCATATGAATAAAACTATGATAGAAACAAAGTAACAAAAACATTATCCTCTAAGTTTTCAGTTTGCAGGGTGTAGGTGGGGCTGTACCTACAGTAGCATTGGGAATACACGGACATTTCATGATCAATCATTGGAAATCGTCAGAATGACAAACCCAAATTGAAAATTGATTATAATCGTAAATTTTCTTTACAAGAATTTTATTTAGGATGCTGACGGCCCCTATAAAATGTTTTAGAATGAAGCAGAAATGTACCAAATGTATCAGTCAGCGGACATCAGTGGATTAATTTCTCCCTGCTTGCCAAAGGTTTCCTGTAGCTGCTCAGCCATGAGAGCATCTGATCTAGACCTTGGAGCGTTGTGAGTTCGATCCTCACCTGGAGCTCAAAATTTTTCCTTTGATTTCAGATGATCAAATTCTCTTTACTTCCTTAATTGTGTGACCATTAAAAAGAAAATGCACGAATTTCTAACATGTTCATTTGCTAACAGCAATGTTACTTTTCTCACGCCATAATCAATTGAGCATTTCCCATAATCAATTAGTGCATCAGTCTAAGATTTCAATTTATGATCGACTACAATCAAGGATTGGCACACTAATATCAAGATGGGTACAGAATAGGGGTTAAGATGTGAGTAACACCTGTAAATTAAACCCTCCATTAAGTTCCCAAGTTGAGGCAGGTTAGAAAAAGGCTATTTCCTTGGTGTTCCAGGAAGATTGGCTGGTGAGTCATTGTTTTTGTCTTTTTAAATACAATTCAATGATCCTAAATTAGTGTCAATAGACCTTTTTACCGATACGGCGGCCATATTGAATTATTTGATTTAAGGAGTATTATAGGATGCCCAGGGGGCATAAGCACATTTCGTTTGTATTTTCGAGGGCTTTTCGGGACATTTTTCTTAAAGTTTCCTTAGAATAAGATTGTAATAGGAAAAAAGATCTTTGTGCCGTGTTTGGATGTAAAAATGATTGCCTTTTTCTAGTTTAGTATTAGAAATATGGTCTTTCACTACATATTTCTCAGGAAAAAGGGGATCATTATTACATCCAAACATGGCACAAGGATCTTGTTTCCAAATTACAATCTTATTCTTAGAAAACATTAAGAAGGAATGTCCCAAAAAGCCCTCGAAAATACAAACAAAATGTGCCTATGCCCCCTGGGCATCCTATAATACTCCTTAAATCGAATGAATTCAATATGGCCGCCGTATCGGTAAAAAGGTCTATTTAGTGACTTAATTACACATGCAAGAAAACTCATGCCAAGTAGTCATCATAAAATATTTATAGCAAAGACAACAATCTCAAAGAATTTATTTGTGAATGATTATAGGCACTTTATTACCTATAAACTGATTACTGGCTATCTCAGTCTACGAAGAATCTCTGCTACACAGCTTTGCTTCTTGTATTACTTTCTTTTGATGATCAAATCATTATTTTATAGAATTAATAATTTCTTAATTAGAATTTCAAAATATTAGTTCAAAATAATAACACTTAAAGTCTCCAACATACCTGACATTTGTTATAGAACATCATTAAGTTTGTTAAACACAAACTTTCACCACCAATATAAAACATACTGTAATCCTCTAACTGTGTCTCCAATGGAAGCCTAAATTCACGGCCAAACCTACAAGACAGATGAGAACTACTATAGGTTTCCTTTATAACTTACAGTAATATAAGGCAGCTGTTCTCCCATATTTAACCTACTGTCATCTCGTGTGGCATTTTTGCCTTGTTAGCGAAACTAGACAAGACATGTCCAAGAAAGAGCACTTAGGGCTGTATATTGTGATGAACAATGAACATTCTTCCTATGGTCAATTACTATCTATGGCTGGGCTATCTACTCTACAAAACTGGCAACTAGTACAGGACATACTAGCTATTCTCATGTATAAAGTTAAAAACAACATGTGCCCCACACACATTAGCTCTCTATTTGAACAGCCTGCAATTAAGTATAAATTTTGCAATCATGACTTCACTATACCCAGATTTAACACAGTCTCCTTTGGAAAGCACCTGCTTAGGTATATGGGCCCAAAGGTATGGGAGCTCTGTTCCTAGTAATGTGACAAAAACGTCCATATTGTCCTCTTTCAAATATAACATCAGAAAAGTGGATCTCAGTATACTATTGGGAGACAATAATTGCTCAAACTGCTCTCTTTGCAGTTCTTAACTTCATATGATTATGAACACATTTGTACATATTGTATATAGTTCTCCCAAATAGATATTTGCACATACGTTATATATAGTTTTTCTTAATTTCTTTTTATTTCTTAACATTCTGCTAATTCATCTTCGATTAAATAGTTAATTAATTAATTTATTTATTCTTTTAAATTTATTTTAGTGTCCCCACTTAATGGCTCTACAATGCTTTTACAGTTTGACACTTAAATAAAGGTATCATCATCATCATCATCATCATACGGACACTTGAAAGAGTACTTTAATGATGCTGGGATTAAAAGCATAAGCCTGGCTTGACGTAAACAATTAAATGAGTGTCGCAGTTTTTCAGCAAATAGGCAGACACCAAAACAGTTTTGGAGATGTCTGGGAATCAGACAAAGCACTGTGTCAAGTGTAAGTTTAAGCTGTTTAAATGCCAGTAATTCTTGAAAAAAACTAAAACTTGGTTACAAAAGTTCTAGCACTGGTAAATTCAGATCTCCTTCGCAGAAAAGAATGATTTATTTTGACTTTTGAGAAGTCTGCATCCAATACTCACTTGTTAAAGTAATTTTTCTCAGGTTTCTTGGTATCACCTTGTTCATCCCTGCCCTCTACAGAATGCATCTGTATTGTATTTGCAGAATTTTCCCCTTTGAGTTCATTTTCGAAACTGGAATACACCAGCTTGGAGAATATTATGTTTGGATAATAACCTTTGATAGAATTCTCCAATTCTCCTGAAACAAGTAAGAAAATAAACACAAATTCAGCTGTAGATACTAAATTGACAAGACAAGCACGACTTAATATTGAATGAAATAATCAAAAAATTAATAGGAAGGAATTTTGAAAGATTTTTATGATGTCATAATGTTTGCCTCAATAATAAGAAAATATAAAATACTAGCGCTCTCAACCATTTGCCTATGAGAGCAGACACCCTTTTAGGCACCTGCTCTGGCATGCTAGGCATCCATATGACATAATAACATAAATTCAGAAATACTCTAGTCACATGTGAAACATTCACTGACAAGCACAACTAGCCGGTTAACACATCCTGTTTCATTTGAACCACAGTGGGAACTTTTTCAAAGTCAATAATTTTCTTTTTATAAACCATTCCTTGCACCTATGAACTGCTGGATGCATCATAAAAGTCTTTTAATGAGGCATCCATTTCTATCAAGAGGGTGTGTCCATTGGTTTCATGGCACTATTATACTATTGCATGTTTGGAAGCTGGAAATATTTTCTGACCTATAACAGCCCTTTCAACTCCATTTCCTCAGACAGCTCCACTTTTGTCTTTACAATACACTAACTAAAGCTCCTGTAACTTGAAGCTTATTAACCCTAATCCTAATACTGGGCACCCTCACCTATACCTGCAGCTGCAAATTAAGCACTTTAACACCATTTCAAAGGATGTATGGGAGATAGAGTATTAATGAGTACTTACCAATACAGTGACTGTACATTACATCACAAAACACCAGCACCTTAACACAAGGATCTGGGAACAGCTGTCGAAACTGCTCTGAACAATGCTGAATGCCAATTGGCCATTTACCAAATACATGCAACACTGGAAGCCTTCTAGTCCTAATAAAAGAACAATTTACAAAATATAATCCTTGTTAACTTAGCTGCCACCCTTAAATTTATGAGCACTGGGCAAACTTTGGTGGGAAAACAGTGGATAGGCCATGAATTAAAGTAGATGTGTCTGTTCATGTGAATAAACCTCTATGCAAATGATTTTATAAAAGGGGTGACCTGTGCATCAAGGGAAATTTCTTCTTGTTGTAACACTATGTTCTGAGAGTAGTATGATGCCAAATAGTCAAGGTCACAGAGCTACTAAAAGAAATTGCAAAGTAAAAGGCCTGGAGTTTGAATTCCATTTGGGTTCCTGATTTAGACCACCATAGCCCTTAATGAAGAAGAAGCACATACATGTAAAATAAAATTATATTGCTACAAATGACAACCTCCATTAGTTTTTCCTTCAGTTTCCAATAATAATGGTAAACTACCATCAAAAAAGGGACATAGAGTGTAAGACAAGCAACAATGGCACCAGGCATGTTTGATAATAGCTATCAGAGCATTGTTAGAAAACTAAGACCTGTGACCCCCTTAAATAGCTGTTACATTAACATTAAAACCCTTTCTAGAGAATTGTGAGCTAATAAAGGTCATACAATGTACTTCCCATAACCTGAAACATGACCTCTTCTAGAAGTCTCAGCTGTTAGTTCTCAAGCCACCCACTATCAAAGGTAATTAGCAGCCTGAGTTGACACTCACTGGCTTAAACAAGCTCTACCATAATGGATGATCAAGTCTGCATTCACATGCTCTGCCGCCACTTCATCTATACAACAGCTAAAAGACACAAAATAAGCACCCTCTTTAGGACAATTCCCTCAATTTTATTACCCTGTTTGGGACAAAGGACAAAATGCATGCCTTCTCGTTTTAACTTAAGCCATTTACTGGCAATTGCTATAGAGCAAATTCACGTTATACAGGTCATGGCATTGACGGAAATTCACGGAAATGGCACTACATAAATTCTTGTACTATTATTGTATTATTATTATACCTGGAGTACAAACAAAATTCATCTAGCAAATCAAATCAATCATCCAGCTGGCAATACCCTGTTGACAGACTAAAACGAAATTATGTACCCTGTTTAGGACAAACTCACAGGAAATTGTATACCCTGTTTAGGACAGAGAGGTAAAAAACCATACCCTGTCCAGCGGCACATCCCTGTATAGGCCACATAAGGGAGCACCTCTCTCAGTATTGTTGAAACTGTTGACTGATCTAACTAGGATGTTGCACAAAATTCCTGTTAACTTTTAAATGTTAGCATCCACAAAAATGATCGAACATTTCTTGTCACAGAGGAAAGGAAATACGTCTGTTGAGCAACAGGAAATAAAACACTTTATGGTCCAATGCCCAAACTTCATGCTTAAAATGTATGTTCAGCTGCCCAAAGTATTGTTGTACAACAAACAACCCTTTCAGCCTATTAAAAGGGGAAATTGTCAGTGGCCGCTCCAGGGGAGGGCCTGCCCCCCGTTATTTTTAGACCAAACTGAGGCCCAAAGGGCCAAAAAAATGTTTTTTTGAGACTGCCCCCCCCCCTTATCTCAGGGTCTGGATGACCAGGCCTTCCTCTTTATCTGAAGGCCTGGATCCACCACTGGCTGTTTGGGTCAGCGTTGATAAATTCCTACAAAAGGTTCAGTCATTCTGCATAGGAGAGTACAGCTTGTTACAAAGAGTATTTTCCATACCTTCCATATGATGTATCTGCTAAAACAAAAGCTCTCTTTGAAGTTTTATTCTCAATCAAAGAAGTGACAGCAGCTGAATCAGCCAAAAAAGAATCTGGAAACTGGAGTGCAACCTGAAGAAATTCCAAACCACATGTTAAGAGGACTGTAAGGAAATGTCAGAAAAAAAATGAAAAACTTCTACAGAAGGAAATTTCAACTGTGAGGAAATGTCCTATTTTCCACTTTTGCAAAAAATCCGCTCTGCAGAATTTTTTTAAAATCACTGTACATTTTCTTTCTCTAATGCCAAAACTTGTCATCCAAAAAAGTAGGGGTAACTGGCTTAGTTTTCTAGTCATCAGTGCTGAAAGTTAAAAAGTAGGTTAAAACAACCTGTCAGATACATTGCCACGGTAACTGCTAATGACAAAATAATAATTATTTTAAGTCAAGCATTCTTTGTACAATCCAACTCTGAAAAATTGCTCCTATGACTTTGTCTTGCTTTTTAGCTCTGTCCTTTTAAAGTTAAAACCATCAAAAAAGGAGGAAACTGTACAAGCCACCTTTGCATTTACAGTGCAACTGGGAAAAGAGTGAACATTTGTAATATCTCAGGAACGTTTATGGTGTAATCTTAACTAGAACAAAATTGTCAAATCTGATTGGCTATCAACTGCCCTGATTTAAGCCTTAATTGGACAGTTAATAGGACAGTACGCATCATGCCTAAGTAATTGGACAGTACGTGCCATCACGCACGTGCTTAAATGGCTTTTTTTTTTCACTGCTAGCAAAACAAAATTTCGAATTTCTTGTGTTTTGATTTAAAAAATAGCCTATTATATCACAAATTTTGTTAAAGTTACGATTAATTGGTAACAGAACTTTGTGTCGTCCAATTCAGTCTGTAATAATACTCGTGATTAAACAAATCGGACTTCCGCTACGCGGTCGTCTGATTTTGTTAATCACTCGTATGATTACAGACCGAATTGGACTCCACTCAGTCCTGATAACAACACTTATGAGCAATCGCTGCAAAGATCAGGACATGCAAACTAGCCACAAAACCTCAAACTAATTAACATTCTTGCTGGCAGTTCAGTTTTCTCATGCCTGATTGGATTTTTTCAAGCAACACAATAACATTCCAGAAATATTTTTGGTGTTCACGTTTTTCCTGGTTTGACTGTAATATCTGTACCTCCCTGGTTGATGACCAGTGCTATTCTTCAGTAGTACGCTATAAATATGGAGGATTTCTTATGGGGTAGAGTAAAAAAAAATATGGATATATGAATGCTTTGTGGGTAAGGCTTTAATTTCCACGAAATTCTTCAGGGGTAGACCCATATTCTTCAGGGGGTAGTAGACCCATGTTTAATGGAAGTCTTCAGGGGTGAATGCAGTTATTTTATTCAGTCTTCAAGGGTAAGAAGAAAAGGTACCTCCTCAACCAGGGGGATACGGATATTAAAAGGAGCAGCCCAATATTAATCTCATTAGTAGATGCTTATTGACTCTAAACACAGGCGGCCCAGACCTAGTATGTGTCACTGAATGAATATATTAATATCCACATGGACAAATTAATGCAATGAGTCGTTGAAACTCCCATGGACTGAAATAGTCTAAAAGTCAAAATATAACAAAACAAAGCTAAGATACCTTCAACTGAACGTATCCTTGTCTTTCCTGGCCGGTTTAAGTGGCGTTTTGTTGAGTTTTGAAATTGTAGGTACTATCCACTAAAGAAGAATTAAAGGCTGGCTACAAAACAAACAGACCATCTCCACGCGCCTTCACACGAAGCGCTATAAATTCGAGAATAATCGACGAATCCACTCCAAATAGCCATCGGCTAATCTGCAGGTAACGTATGCTCCTCCTTCTGGCTCGCTTGCTCCACAAAACCCATTGCAACTGCACAATAATTGCTCGCTCATTAACAACCACTGTTGACCTTTACGCTTCGATATGACCGCAAAACGACCAGGTTTAATACGCGACGTGAATATTGAAGCTTAGCGACTGCGTTTGCGCAACAATGCAGCACTTGCTATGGGAGGGATGGTACTATTGCTTCTAGGTCAATCGACTGACCAAAGGTTCGCTGCGTTAGTTTTGACCAGAAAACAAAAGGTGATCGCGGGACCGTCCGTAAGTTTTCAACAGGGCAGCCCTGGTTTTCAAGTTCGAACTCTTCTAACGTTCGCTGTCTCAGCCGGCTGTCACATTGTTCGTCGAGCCGCTTGCATAGGTTCTTGACTCTACCAGACTTATTTGCTTACTTAACAACGTCTTACTCCATAATATGTTGTCCAAACTGGTGAAGGAGGACGAGAATTTTCTGTCCAGGAAAAAGGCAAAATTTGGCCCCCGCTATGCAGCTGAATAGAAGATACAGCTGAAGATATCGTAAAGTAAAATTTATGTGCGCGATATCTTTTATTATTATTATTATTATTCTCAAAACTCAGGAGCACCCAAAGATGATTTCCCCCTAAATGCATTGAAAACACATTTAAGGCTGTCCAGAGTACTTTTGATCGAAAAATGCATTCTAAACAGCGCTTACATAAATTTAGTCAGGAGGGCTAAAAGCGAAGCCAATGATTTATAGTTTGCTCATACTAAATATAAAATATATTGTGTAATGCTAAGCGGAGAAGGCAACGAGACAGGGCCACCCAATGACTGTTTCCTCAAATACTTTCAATTGAAAAAACTTTTGTAGCTATTCATAAAGTACTTTTAGCTCTATAGAAATGCATTCTAAGTGGCGCTATAAAATTTGCATCTCAGTCTTCGGCCATTCTAGAGGAACTTGAGTCTTTTCGAAATTACGAGGAATTCAGAATCATTTTCCCGAAAATTTTAGATGCAATTTAACGTATTACGAAGGAGATAATTTTTCAGATAACTTCTTTCATCACATTTTTGAATCTGAAAATTTTAGGATTCCATTTTACTCTCTACGAAAAATAGCCTAACCCGGTGAGTGAAATGTGAAAAATTAAAAGTTGGATGCCCTTGACCAGAACTGTGAAAAACAACAATAGGTCTGATTGCAGCACACTTTCTTGTACATTTCCTTGCCGTTGATTTGCATGACTGCAACATGAAATGTCCAGAAAACTTCCTGGTTTTCACTTTTTATGGAGAAAATGTGGTACATGTTCTTGTTCACTTTTTCCACTGCCGCTCATTTTTTTTAGCTCCACTATAATGTTCGTATCTGTTCGGTGCTCCTTGGGCAAATTGGATCTTTTTAAAAATTACAAGGGCTTCAATATTATTTTCCCGATTGATTGACCTGGAAGCAATAGTACCATCCCTCCGATAGCAAGTGCTGCATTGTTGCGCGAACGCGGTCGCTAAGCTTGAATGTTCACTTAGCGTATTAAACCTGGTCGTTTTGCGGTCATATCGAAGCGTAAAGGTCAACAGTGGTTGTTGATTTGCGAGCAATTATTGTGCAGTTGCGATGGGTTTTGTGGAGCAAGCGAGCCAGAAGGAGGAGCACACGTTACCTGCAGATTAGCCGATGGTTATTTGGAGCGGATTCGTCGATTATTCTCGAATTTATAGCGCTTCGTGTGAAGGCGCGTGGAGATGGTCTGTTTGTTTTGTAGCCAGCCTTTAATTCTTCTTTAGTGGATAGTACCTACAATTTCAAAACTCAACAAAATGTCACTTAAACCGGCCAGGAAAGACAAGGATACGTTCAGTTGAAGGTATCTTAGCTTTGTTTTGTTATATTTTGACTTTTAGACTATTTCAGTCCATGGGAGTTTCGACGACTCATCGCATTAATTTGTCCATGTGAATATTAATATATTCATTCAGTGACACATACTACGTCTGGGCCGCCTGTGCTCTAAATAAAGAACATTTGCCTCACCTTTTCAAAGTTGCCACTTTTAATGGCACCCACACACCTTGAAATCTCATAAAAATCACTGAGGTCCTTTTCCAAGTCTACAGGATCAGGCGATAAACTAAGCTTTCTTTCTATGACCTCCCTTTCATTACCACTGAGTTGCACAGCAGCCTGAGGAGAGCTCGTGGTGCTCGCCATTTTGTTTTTTTGAAAGAGATTCCGCTGGACTTATGCTGCGGCGATACGCCGCGAGACGAAGTCGCGCGTAGTCGCGCGTGAATAGCGCCGTGGTTGGTCTAGAGCAGGGGGCCCCCCTGGTCTAGAGCTTCTGTATGAAACTAACCTACTGCAGGGGCACCCAACGAGAATATAGCTCAAAACCACTTAAACATAGCATTGTTAAACGTATTTTAGCATTTAAAAGGTGGGTATAGGCATATTTTTATCCCCTGAAACTTTTTCAGCTGTTCGGATTTCCTAGCTGAAAGTCTAGTGATCCGAAAATTATAGGGATCAAAATTTACGTTATCGAAAATTTCATCCACAAAAAAGGCTCCCGAAAATTCTAGGTGACCTTTTTAGGGTAAAAATCTTTTAAAACTGGGCAATTATACCATTTTTTAGACGTTCGAAAATCCTAGGAGAGGCAGACAGGCAAGAAATTTTACAACAAATGTTCCGAAAATGCTAGATCTGAGATCGTCTTCCGAACAGATATATTCCGAAAATTGACGTTGGGTGCCCCTGCTACTGTAGCCCGAAACTAGCAAAAAAGGATGAGGACAAGAAAACTGGGTCTTTCAATGCAATAAAAAAATTTTAAAGCCTTTCGCGTGACACACTGGCAATGCAGGCAAATGGCCCTAAGGGAAAGTTCATTTAATATGACAAAGGGGGGGATGAAGATATTGAAACTCGAAGCTTGAAATTTTAGCAGCCCCCTTCGCTAGCGGTTCAATTTTTTAGGAGCCCCCTCCTTGGTAGTCGAAAAAATTTCAGAGCCCCCCCCCTCCTCCTTCAATTCCTTTGCTCCCCTGAAAAAAGATCGCTAGACTGTATTAAATATATTTACCGTTATTGTCTTCAATGGTTTATACTATGACAAACTTGAGATACAGTTGTGATACAATTTTCTAAAGCATTTTTGGGATGAACAAGAGTGTAATAATTACTGAGACTACATTTGTTATATCTGTAAACCACGTGATATAGCTGAGTTGCACAGGTCATTAAATTGTTGAGTTGAAAACCATCCGATCCGGTATGATGATGTCATGCGTTGGTTTTGAAGTATACAAATTTTCGGAGCCCCCCCTTCGGGTGTCTAAAAATTTTCGGAGCCCCCCCTCAATATCTTCATCCCCCCCCCTTGTCATATTAAACGAACTTTCCCTAACGACTTTGTTTTGGCCCTAAGGACTTTTAATTCATTGAAAACTTCAATTTAACGAATTTGTTTGTGAAACAGTTTCAACGCACTAGAAAGCTCTCGGCTTAGCTTGCAGGCTGCGGTAAATTCATCGCAATGATACTGAATAATACGCGAGCGTAAAATTATCCTGTGCTCAGAGACCCTTCGAGCTAGGATGATCTAGGAAGATCGAAGGGCCTCTGTTCGCAGGTAGCGTGAAACAAACATATGTATAAAAACACATTAGTTTACTAAGGGAAAACAATGAATCAGGAAAGCAAACAGAGATAAATTCACATCGCCAGAGACATCACGAACGAGATTTTCAAATCTTTGCTGAATTAGCGCTAAATGGCAGCCATAAAAGACATGATATTGTAGGAACCCGACGGGCATATTTGATCCACGCCGTTGATTTTCCAGGAGCCATCCATGAATATTCTTTAAAAAGAACAAAAAAAACATTAAAATAACTCGAGAAAAACGGGCTCTGCCACAGGATGCCCAATGACAAGAATATAATTGTACCACGCCAGATCTACAAAGTTCTATGGACGGGCAACTATTATAGTTTTGTCACTGAAAGTTAGCGAGCGGTGCGGTGCTGCTGACTGAGTCGCGGTTCACCGCTAAGGTACGGATGAAAAGGTAGAGGCCCCCATATGAGAAAAAAAAGGAACCCGACGAGCTTGTAAATATTTGTGTGCCACCGCAAGCAGCGCCCACACACAGACAGCTCACACAAGGGGGCACACAATTGTTGGATGAGGTTTTTGTGATATCCGGAATAATAAAGGTCGAAGTAAAGGGTAAGTACCATTACCCTTGGCATTCGGCCTCTGCTGATAATACTTAGCGAGACCTTCATTGTTCCGGATATCACAATAACCGAATGTAATGATTGTTTTGACACACCGTCGCACGGAACACAGTTTGACGTTGCAATCATGCATTGCGCACGCAAGCTACAGTAACTAATATAAACTGTAGGCTGCGCTGCAATAGTGATGTCCAAAATTAACGACAGGCTCTTAGCCAGTGTGAACAAATTTATTCTGTGTACAATGTACAATGATGCTACTCTTTGCACCTTTTTAGAAAGTATCATGGGCAGTAATTACAATATTTTATCTTCAAATGCAATAGAAACAGCTAGGTCAAGAAAATGAAAATTACTTAAGATTTCCCTTTTTCAAACCAAGAGTGGAATATACTGCCCTGTGGGAAGGAAATCTCTAAAATTGGCGAATTTCCCGAAAACACCCAATGACTTCCCAGCATCCTTCAGTATAGCACGTTTGTACGTAATTCAAGGAAATTATTATGTGAAATAGCCGGTTCCAGACACCTGTTGCTTGTTCGATTTTATTTTATTTTTGCACAATTCTCTTCACTATTCTCTCCTAAACATTTTTCACCGAGTTGCTTTCGTAAAAAATGACAAAAAAGTCCTTTCTATGATTTAAACGCGACGTAAACAAGAAATTTTAAAAACATTGCGACTTCAATTTGCATACGATCGACAGTACTTGAAATGCTTTTTTGGTTTTAGCTGAGTATCCTTTAGTCAGTGTAAATTAAGCACGTTGGCAACTTATCAAGAACATGTGGATCTGTTCTACAGGTACTTTATGCTCATTAAATAAACCATACAAAGTTAAAAATTTAATTATTTGTTTGTCAGTGAAATAAGGTATTTTCCATGCAACCTTACACGAGTTGAAAAATATACTGAATTTTGCGTAAAATAGCTATTTCTTCGGTAAGTATATCTGATAAATTAAACAGAAATTTTTGGCATTCAGCTTTATTTGCCTCACGAGAAACACTTAAAAGCCAGTGTAGTTACTGACTAGTCTCTCCTGATAGTCACATCAAGTCACGGTAGAGATCTGTTGCAGCGCGCATAATAACGAAATTCTGAAAGCGGAAAATGGCATTTCTATTAATGCGTTTAGGTACAAAATGCGTTGCATGGCTTAAACTGTCAGAGGCTCGGCCTCCTTCCAGAGCGGCGGCCGTAACTGGTAGATCTGCTGGATAATAATGTACGGAAAAACTGCCACCTGTCCAAAAATTACCTGTTGAATTGACTCCGCAAGGTGCAATCATGAATAATTCTTTGCAATTCAACAGCTTTTGATCAGAAGCTCTGTAATTTATCAGCACCCTTACTGTCTTGATATCTACCTTGCTGCAGGTACGTGGATAGACAATTCGTACGCCGCTGAGTTGAACCAACGGGTTTGGTTTCTGTGTATCATCTGTAATAACCTGTTTCCTAGTTCGTTTCTTCGTGAATCGGCGCCACGAAAGTTCACTTTTTCGGCTTATCGGACTTTTTATCTTACAAAATTAGAGGCTGTTTCCATATTGAGACATCTCGGTAATAATAAACTTTAAACAGGCTGCCAGAAAGACTGCGAAACAGAAATTAGTTGATTAAAAACGGCGAATTATCAACGAATTATCAAAGAAAACTGCAAACCCTTTTTAAAAAGAAAGCAGGTAAAAAAATCGATTTCAGTGTCTAAGAGGAGCGGCAAAGTCATCTTTACCTTTAGAAAGCAAAGATTGTTCAAATGACTGCGATATGACTGTATGTTAGAAAAATCCTATTCTCTCCTACGACTCGTCCAAGAATTTGGGGGCGTTTTCCCGAAAATTCAGTCCTAATATTCTATTTGATAAGACTCTCTACGCGGTGACTTAACTGCATCTAAAATCCGAATTGGTGGAGTTTTCATGTTTGATGGATAGTAATAAATTACTAGGCTTTAAGGAAACGGCCTCAAACATATAAAGTGAAAGCGGAAAATGCTTTTTAAAATGCCAAAATAAGGATATTGAAACCCTGCAAGATAATATTGACTTAAAATTGTCACTTGCCATAGAAATTTGGGAATTCGAAAAACACCTGTTGATTCTTGTATAAATTTTGGCTTTAAGATAAATAAAAGAAAACTAGACATCCAAAAATACTAAAAAAATTTAACAAGGGGACATAAAGAGAAAAATGGAGGAACTCGCTTCAGAGTGCCAGTGTAATAGAACTTTGACGAAGCTATAGTTTTAAAAGAAGTAAAACGATTTTGGTACGAGTGGTATCCGGATTATAAATGCGGTGAACTTTCTTCAGTACTTGTGTTATTGTGTCTTTACTTTTGTTTTGGGTATTCGAACACATTGGCCAAGTATTAAACTTGGCTTTGAAATTTGGAACCCCCGACGATGATTTCACATTCGAAGGCACGCGCCATCTGTAAAGACACACTTCTTTTCAACCGGTATGGCGTCCTTGATTGTTGGGAAGTTTGATCGGTTAAACGTTTGGAGGAAAAAAACGAATCGCTTTTCTTTTGTTTTTCTGCCCGTTTTCGGGGAGCAAAGCCGCCGGGTTATCTGTTTCGTCTGTTTCGGGGATTACAAAGAGTTAAATAGCCACCGCTATTACTAGAGTAACATCGTGAATTGAAGTAAAACGCGCACCGCCTTTTTATAAACGTGAAACACCGAAGACCATTTCCGAAACCTTTTGTTTTCAAGACCAATGCCGCATTCTCCAAGTTAAATTCTCGAAAAATTTTCATTCCTCGGAGAAAGAGGTCCGAGAAGAGCGCGGAGAGAAACGAAAAGTGACAGGCGAAGTAAGGTATTAAATTTACTGTAAAAAAATTTCCTTCTTTTTTGTATTTTTTTGTTTCTACGACAATTGTAAACGGCACAAAAGGCCCGGATTTTTAAGATGATTCATTCATAGCGGAGGAGGATGACGGATCCTTTTAAATTTGTAATTATTTTTGCATATCCATTCTAAACTGTCGACTTATGCAAATTATTTCGAGCGCGAAAGAAAAGTTGGGGTGGGGTCGTCCATTGTCAACATTTGAACCGCAGTCAATAAGCGCTCTCGACTCGCATGAGTAAGCACGGATTTCCGTGAATTGATGAGCAATAAACCGCTTAGATAACTGCTCAGTTGTTTTATAAAAGTTCAAAATCCTCGTCTTTGGATGGGACAAAGTGTTGCTAGTGTTTTAACACATTTGCGTGGGAAGAATTACTGGTGGTTGAACAGATCATACCGAAAGAATTTGTAAGTCCCGAAAGTAGTAACTTGGCCTTATATGGTGTAGGCCTTGGGGGGTTGTTTTCCGTAACAACCAATCAGCGGTAAGACCGCCAATTTTCAGCCAATCACCGTCGACCAAGGGTTCGATCCAAATAGCCAGTAACTGATTCACATCGAAGAAAAGTTCTGTTCTTATCATTCGCTCGGGAAAAATTTTTGAACCAGTTATTCCGAGATGATGAACAGCACTTTTCAATCGATGGTTTTCTACGATACGCCCGACTCACTCTCTTTGCAAGAGATGGTGGAGTGCGACAGCCGCGAAATGGATTTTAACTTGAACGATCCACTGTTTCAACTGCAAGATAACGCATTATATCAGGACGTTCAACACACGATGACAGTGAAGCAAGAAAGGCCCAGAACGGAATGTACGCCTGCAGGCGACTTGACCAACTTGCAATGGCTGCAGAGCGTTAGCATACCCATGGAGAAAAACTCGGCCACGGAGAAACAAGTCATGGTGGATCCCAACACTGCCTTACCTGTGCAGTGGCCGACTCACCAGCAACAAGTTAATATGTCCCAAGTACCGCAACTGAACGTTACGGCTGTTCCAGCTCCACAAATTTTTCAGGCACGTGCAGCGGACTCGAAGCCCAAAACGTCGCAACACGGGCCGAAAAACGGCGTTAAAGAAAGCATAAAATCGCAGGATAAACCGTACCCCAAGCCGCTGTTCTCGTATTCCTGTCTTATCGCCATGGCCTTGAAGAACAGTGATTCAGGCACACTCCCCGTCAGTGAAATTTACAAGTTCATGATGTAAGTTTCATTTGGCGCTTAAATGGACCATGTCAATTTCATAAATTTATATTTCGTGCGCGAACTGAGGTTTGATATTTTGCTTTATTTTGCGTTGTACAGGGGCAAGTTTCCGTATTTTAAGACCGCTCCCGATGGGTGGAAGGTGAGTGGTAATGTATTTATCGAATCCATTCTTCGCATGGCCGGTACCTGCGAAGTTTGAATTTAAAAACATTTGCTCCATAGGTAGTAACGGCTCACGCTACACATATTCGTCGGTGAATAGTGAAAAAATTCCACAAAATTTGACCATCTTTTCGGTTTTTCTCGATAAAGTGATTAGATCTTCGGAAGTTATGGGCTAACTTTGAAAACTTTACTCTCCTTATCTCAACGGTTTCCTGCAACTCCGCACTTGAATGGTTTTCCTCGCAGCATTACAATGGCTTCCGAACAGCTGACTTCGAATCGTTTGCAAAATTCTCGGTTTTTTACCTCAAAGAAATCGGCTATTCTTTTTGCTTATTTTCCATTAAGGCGAAAACTCGTATTAAAACCAGAAATAGGTGATATGAGAGAATTTCGTTGCGTTTTATTTTCTTATTTCTTCATGACAGCTCGTGATATTCGTGTTTACTGAATCGGATGTAACACAATGGATTTAATGGACGAATAGGAAGTGTTGTGAGCGAACTTCTTAATATTTTGTTCGTTCGATCGTTGATTCTATTTGAGGTTAAGTTTCCGAATCGAATGAATCAAGACATGGTAATAAATTGCTGACGAAATCGCGAACAAAAGAGTATGTCAAAATGGGTATTCAAAACAACGTTCATGTCATAGATAATTCGCGAATTGATTTCACACGAGGCTTGCGGAAAGACCTGATCTTCATTTTCCAATCTTTCTGGACAGCCCTTTCAGGGAAACAATCGCAACTTCGCCTTCGTTAACTTTAGCACACAAAATATTTTCGAGATTTTTTATGATAGAAAGAGGCAGATATCGTAGTCATGCTCAATTCGAATAGTAAGTTAGAGCCAAGGGTGGGGCATGATTTTTATATACGGGAGGTCGCATGACAATTGCATACGAATTCTTTAGTCTTTTTGCGAAAACTTCGTATTTTAGAACTTTTCTTGCTTAAATTATCGCGCATTCTGTTCCCTTAATGTCGAAGGCACGAGACCGAGGGTATAGCAACAAACTTCACCCGGTATGTTGAGACTTCGGCTTTCTTTAGCTATAATTTTAAAATTTTCGGTTCAACGATTTCATGCTCTTTTACGAGACACGAAAACAAATCAAACCGATTTTATCAAAAGAAGGTTTCGCCAGAAGTGAAAACAAGGAATTCGTGCAATCCAAAAAAATATATATTTCTCCCCAAATAAGTTGTTTCTTTTTTAAGGTTTCCTTTCGTTACAACAGGTGGTTGATGTTTTGAATAATTTATGTCATTCTAATTAAGGTCTGTATTCCAAGAAGATGCTGCATATTAAATTTTGAATTCCTTTTTCCAATTTTCTTCCTTCACCCAAAAGGAAAAAAAGAAATCATAAAATCCACAGACAATAAAATAATCATGGCGTTTTTAAAGAATTTAGCCTCAAGATATATTTTAAATCTATCATTTGTAGAGTAATAAGGTGGTTGATTGTCGAAAACCTATTTATATTTCTCTAGAATTAAAGCTTTGTCGACCCTATAATTTTTCTAGCATTTAGATATTTTCTGTGAATACTAGTTTTCCACAAAACTTGGATTTCTTTGTGTTAAAAGCCAAGTGAGAATTTTATCACAGGCATTGTGAAACATTTAATTCAAATCCATTTTGTAGGAAATACACTTCAGTGAGCACTTCCTAAATGTAAATTTATCCCTTTAAATCCTTTATTACAATGAATTCTTCCTTGCACAATGAATTTATTCAGTTCATTCTGAAAGCAATCTTTTTAACTTTTTTTTAAAAATTTAAACATTAAAAATAGTGAAGTGTAGTTGCTGTATAGTATTTGAAAGACATACTTCCAAAATTATTATCTAAGGTGTAAGGTAAAAAAATCTTCAACAAGTTCATGCTGGTAGCACAATTATTGTTGTGGGAAGAGCTTCTTTATGAAAAAAATATTTCAGCCCAACTGCCTGTTAATATCTATCTTGTGGTAGTACCAAGTTGTTATATTTTCATAAATTCATACACTGAAGGTTATTCAATGCGAGGTTAACAAAATACTCCAAATTAATTTGCGAGACATAAATATGTCAAATTATTTTTGCAACAGATCTCAGCAATTGAAATATATGACACTCAATTTTTTCTCTAAAGATGTTATTAATCTACATTCATCAGCACATCAATAATAAATAACTTTCGTTACCACACCCCATTCTACAGTGATTTGGAGACAAAAGGGAGATTTCTCACATTTATTTGGAGTACTACAATAAACTAGCCAAGATGAGTTAAGTATGTCCATTTTTCTCAATATCAGTGTTCTTTTTAATGGTACAAATGAAGGCAAATACACTCTTAAGCCACAGAGTTGGTTTCATGGCATTATATAACCAAATAGTTTTTGTCTTTGAAAAGTTCTAATTCTAAATATTTTGATATGCAAATGAAGAAGGACTAAACTTTTTGCACCATTTTTCAATTTAGCTATTTAAATATTTCCTGATTTTTGATTGAAATGGTTGAGTTTTCTCTTCAGTGCAAACTATATAATCCTAGCCATAGTTGTTCATACCATGACATTTGTACATATCTTTTTTAACGTTGATCTGGTTTTCTGTCTGTTAACCACATTCTGGACAATAATTATGAATAACAGGCTGTTTAGTCTGATGGAACATATTTGCAAGGACAATGTTTTGACACTGCCTAGTGAATACTTATTAACACCTACATTCTTGCTAGCAAGCAGAACAAACCAGGTCCTCACAACCAGGAAGTTAACAGTCTGTCCAAGAAAATCTCTTTCAAACCAGATCAGCTTCTCAGCAAGCCTTGTTAATTGCCCACATTATAATATTGATGGATAAGGTAGAAAAGCGAACAAACGTGCCTTAACTTACATAAAACGTATGGTAAATAAGAAAAATTGAAACTAGATTACCATGTAGTAGCCTGAAAACTGACATTTCTTGCTTTTACTTCTACACGTGTTAATGATACCACATTTGTCTTATATTATCAATTTAAAATATCAACTAATTAGCACATTTAATGGTCAAAAACGTTTCATAAGAGAAAAACATCAAGAGCTCGATAACTTCTACATACACAAATTTCTTAAGAACTTGTGGCTTTGAAAGCATTTTATTTTAACAATTGACTGGATCAATGCATTTTTGCCAAGGACAAACATATGAGCTAAATAAATTTTGAAAGGCTACCACTCAAAATAAGCAGTTCATATAAATTTAGAATACAGTGATAATTTAGTTCTAAATTTGCCCATCAATTAGGTTTAAGACCATCCCTCATCACATTAATTTTGTTATTATAGTGTAACAATAATAATATTGTTATAAGTAGGTATAAATTTTAACAACATATTTTATTCATTTCCAGAATTCTGTTCGGCACAACCTCTCATTAAACAAGGCATTCTGCAAGTTGGAGAGACCTCAGGGTGCCTCACAGAGAAAAGGATGTCTGTGGTCACTTAAGCCAGAGAGACGTGAACAGATGGATAAAGAGATCAGAAAGTGGAAGAAGAAGCATACAGAAGCTATCAGAGCCAGCATGGCAAATCCAGGTAATTAGTTAATGTTATGATGTCATGGCTGAATTCACTAATGAGCCAGATAAAAGGAATCCTGTGTTCTGATTGGCTAAGGGTGGATTTCCACTGTCGCATAATTTTAACATTTGTACGCACATAACATTTCTGTGCATAAATAAAATAGAGACAATGTATAAATGACCACACATAAACTTGCCTCTGTTTTATTTATGTGCATACGCACATAAAAATTTCGCGACAGTGGAAATCCACCTTTACCGATTGTGCAAGAAAAAGTCCTCTTTTGGCTATAATAAATTATAATAAATTTTATTTATTATTTAAATGATTTAATCATTTTTGGCTAAGGGAAAGTTCATAATAAATTATAATAAATCATTTAAACTGACCAAGGAGGGGGGCTCGAAAATTTGTAATTCAGTCAAGATGGTTTTTGTTTTGATGGCCTCAGCTATTTCTTTTTGCAAACATTAATTTCACCCCAAAAAAAAGTAAAAAAAAATCTCAAGTTTGTCATAGCGGTAAATATATTTAATACAGTCTACATTATATCCAGCATCTTGATCTCATTGGTCAATAATGTCATAGGTGGTTGGTTAATGGCCTCTTTCTTTTTTTGATATCTTAGCCAATATACATTATATCCAGCATCTTGATCTCATTGGTCAATAATGCATAGAGCTGATATCATTTTGGATTATGGAGTATTGGTAAAGGATGGGTGGGGATGTGGGATAATCATGGCAAATGAACCTAAAATACCAAGAAATTAATGTTTACTTCAATCTGCTGTTAACGGTTTTGTAGATTTGTATTCTGAGTGTTTTTGTTTTGTATTCATTTCATTCTCAGAAGAACTGTCCATTTCAAATGATGACCTGGACAGTTCCCCTGAACAGATCCTGTCCCAAACAGAAAACTGTGAGGACATAGCAGCAGCTGATGCCGCAAAGGAACTCTTTGGCAATGACTTGATTCAGGAAATTCAACAGAATGACGTCCTTGACTGGGATGACATTATTTCTCAAAGTACAGAGCTACCGATTGATCCTACACTTAGCACTTGCACAACTTTACCAATGTCGACAACACATCTCAATGGAATGCAGGGATGTGACACTATAACCACTACAGTAGAAATGGATAACTCAGCACAATATTTTGTAAACAGTGATGGGCAGGATTTTGACATCCCTTTACCATACAGCATGTCACACTACTATGGCATGCAACCTCAACAACATATCAATGTGGGCTTTTGATTTAAGTGACAGATATTTAGCTAGGAGTTTGAAAAATAAATTTCTTTAATGTACAGAGAATAGAATAACAATGCCAGAACCCTGGAACATGAGAAAGAACGGTTGTTTTTTAATGAACTGCAGCAAGGTCAAAAAAAGTTTTTAATTTATTAAGCAATATTGTCCGGCTTTGTTAAGTTCCATTCCTGTTTGCAGTGAGCAATCTAAATTATAAGTCCGTGGATCTTTTCAATAAAAGCTTAACTTTGTAGGTTGCTGCCTTCATTTTAGTTCAACTGAATTAGTTCTCAAGGGAAAAGCAGGTAAAGGAGAATGATGTAATATTAACAACACTACATTAACCCTTCAAGTCCCAAGAGCAACAAACATTCATTTTCTCCTGTTATTATCATTAGACAAATCTAGGGAAAAGGCTGTGAGAATTGATAAAATGATCACCAAAGGAAAAATGCTCTGATCTTCTATCAAATTCTCCCAACTATTTCTGTTAAGAAATGTATAGAGATCAGTTGGGAGAATTTGCATGCAGATATTGGGATCATAAAGGGTTAATAAAATGTGATACCCCATACTCCAGCTTAAGAATCCGCAAGTTTAGCTTGATCTTTTGGCGTATAGATATCAAATATTTCATTGCCCTCATATTCATATTTTTTTCTTAGGCTAGTTGTTTTTTATAAGTGACTGTGGTCTGCAGTTAATATCTTCATCACAAAATTGTTACACCAATGACTGCATGCTATGCAAAAACAACGTTGCAATATTATTTCAAAGTTTTGGTATTTAAGTTTTAATTTTATGGTTTTGCTTTATGCAGAACTGATCAGTGGTAGCTAAAACATAATTGTTGGTGGCAAAGTATTTCTTTTTGGGCTTAAAAGTGAGGTTAGTTGTCTTCTGATGTAGATCAGATTGTAAACTCAAAGTTTACTAGTTATTTTAACCATCCATCTTTGTTGAATGTTGCCAATATGATTCCCCTATCTAGGAAATAAAACTGTCAGAATTGAACAGTCTTCTAACAGTGTTTAGTTCACTTGGTGACACTGAGGTGAATTGAACCAATCTCATTCAATCTACCAATAAATTTTTAGGTAATTTATTAGAAAATTAAGTATTCAATCAATCATTGTACATGTTCACAATTTTTTTGCAAAATAGAGATTACTCTCACAAAATACCAAACAGAGCACATAGTAGCACTCACTTTGCAAAGGAACTCCATTTTTGTAACATAACCATCTACTTCAGAATCACTAGGATTTAAAATAGTATTTGTAAATACATATTATCAATTTAAGTTCTGCCTGGTCATTTGTTGTTTAGCTGTAAAAATGTCTTTCACTATTGATTAGGTCAATTATCTGTGCTCGTGAATTCTTAAAAGCTAATTACGTTAAGAGCTATAACAATCAGTTTTAAGTTACAGTGAAAAGTAATGATTATAATATTATTATTATAATATATGGCTAATGTACAACTTGTAAATAAGATCATTCCAGTGGTGTGCTATTGTATTTCAGATTTATAAATTGCTGGAGTATGTAGAACATTATTTGTATTGCAAAAAGCAAATGTGCTTTATTGCAGCTAATAAAGGAAACCTCAGGAACTTAATATTGGTTGAGTCTCATTTTATTTAATTTCAATAATAAAATATTATTAGTTTGCGACTGGATGATAAGCCCCCCTTGCACCCATTTTTAGGCTTCAAAAAAAAGGGCGTTAAAAAAAAGCCCAGATATAGGTAGTGCTTTTGATTAGTCATGCCACATGGGAAATCTGCTCAAACCAATCAGAAGTACTACCCAGATCTAGACTAGGTAGTGACGTGTCATCAGTATGGAATTTCTGCACTTGTTTCTCAGACGTCATTCCATGGGGAAACCATAAGTGATGTCATGAAATGTCAGCTGTTTTCTCTGGTACTGAAAAAACAAAATGGTCTTTTAAAAAAACGTATGATACTCAACCCTTAAAATTTAAAAAAAGAATCATTCATTGGCTCACTGAACTGTTCCTTGAAAAGAACTTACCACAGAATACAAAAAGTTTTTTGAAGTTGATTTTTTATTTAGCATGATGTTTTTTTTTTCTGTACAACCCAGTTTCCACATGACTGCTATGATTGTTGTGATAGCTAAAAAAGATAGTTCAGCAATCATAGCCTGTGTACAGACAACCCTCCCCTCCCCTCCCCTCTGACCTCTTTGAAGCCTAAAGCATTTTATGATGGCTAAAGAACCTTTCAATAAAGATTTCAGTTTCTTGTCTCCAAAATCTCTGAATCTGAAAAGCTACATGCATGTAGTTGTCTGTGAATGTGATGTTTTCTGGTTGCCTGCTATGTTTTGACGAAAGGCCCTAAAGCCAATCAAAATCCCTCATTAACATGCTGTAGTAATCTATGAGGAAAAGCCAATCAAATCATTTTCCACACATTCTGGGAAAAATCACGGGGCCTCCATACACGATTAGCAACGGTGAATCACAGACACCCCTTCTCTGATTTTCCTTTCTATCACTGCAACCACTACAATTATTGCTTGAGGGTGGTCGCTGTGATCACTAAACCTTTTTCCAGGGGTCACAGTGATTGTAGCAATCATATGAATCTGTTCCACTTTGCATTCATTCTACTTTAGAGAGCTGATACTATCATCTTTGCCAAATTAAATAATGCCCCCCCCCAACATGTGTTTGAAATACTTATATAAGCCCCCCTCAGAGAATGTACGGTATCAATGTTCCCTTATAATGCTTTACAAAATTAATGTAGTATCCTGGAATTAGTAGTTCACAGCCGCTACCAAACTTTGATTCTAACATTTCTTAAAAAAGAAGAAACCAATGTTGCTTCACTTTAACATCTCCTTCTCCCTCGAGTCAAATGTTCAAAATGGAACTGCAGGTGTAGCCTGTTCCAAGCATTCAGATAGTGGAGAGCGGTGCAAAGTGAAGAAAGCGATGAAAAGAAGAGGGGGACTGAGGAGAGAGATGCGGGAACGCTTGTAAGAATTTTTAACAAAAGTGCGTTCGGGTATATCAGATCCTGGTATACCCTCTGATTAGTTGATTTTGACAGTTTTTGTCAACAGTGAAGCATCTTCCATCACAGAGAGAAATGCGATATGGCAGTGATGACAGGCTCTACATCCCGTCACGCAGAATTCGAACTCGCAACAAACACAGCGCTGAGTGACTTTCCAAACGTGGAGGCTAAACGCGAAGAGCAAAGAAATTGTTTTAAAACACCTAGTCGGCAGAATAGATGTCTTCGCAATTTTACTGACTGGCTTTGGAAAAAGTCTTATTTTCCAGCTTTTTCCTCGAATAAAGCGTGCGTTGGAATGAAGGCAGGATAGAATATTAATTTTTGATCTAAGAAATTTTGATTTATTCACAAAAAAATAATAAATGTATGGCGCTGTAACACCAGTCTTGATTGACAAGTGAAGACCACCTACAGCTGATGCGGTCTGAGTGGGCGGAAGAGTCTATTTAAAACAAATCTTACAGGCGTTCCCTCTCCCACCTCTCCTCATCCCTCGCTTTTATTTTTTTCCCCCTCCTTTTTACTTCGCAACGCTCCCCACTATCTGAATGCCTGGAACAGGCTACTGCAGGTTAAGTGATCAAAGGGCTTTAGAAAAAATGGTTGTTGGTTACCATCACCCATTTCATTAAGTGATCTAGGTTGGAATCAGCTTCTACATCAGTAATAAAAAAATTAACATTTTGCTGTTTACAGTTACTTATATAATATCTTCTCAAGATTCTAATAGCCAGTAACGTAATTTTTAGTGGGTTGCTTTTTTTATCTAAATTGATTAAAAATAACCAAATTTACAACATAAGTAAGACAAAATTGATGCTAAAAATGAATGACGTTTCGGAGTTGTCATGACACCATTATCAAGCTCAAAATGATTAGAATAAACTGTGAGATTATGAAAATTTAATATTAATATTAATTTTTTCTCCCTTATAATTATATTACTTAATTTCTCCTCAAACTGAATTACCAGAGACCCTACTATAAACTCCAGCCCAGACTGCAGTTGTTCTGATTGACATTGTATCTGCTGGCGTAAAGGTTTGCCTACAAAAGGAAATATGCTAGTGAAATGTGCATCAAGCTTGTCATAGTTATATCTACACATTGTTACTCTTTGTACTAAAACACTGATAATTTATTGCGGAGTAAAAAAGTGTTGGCGAGATGACAAAGAAGATCACCTAGACATTATATTGAGTCTTAAGTTGGTAGAATTATAGGCCACACCTGTAACATTTTGATGCAAAATTACAATGTGCCTTATATCTGTCACAGAAGCGAATAATTACACTATGCTGTCAGCAAGTTGTGGGACAGCTGTACATAAATAGTACCAGCAAGCATAATTTATATATTAATACCAATACAAAGATGATATAAAACATGTTTTAATATAAAAAGGTAAGGAAAAGATGTCTAGAAATAATTTCTTTCAAAACAACAATGGCATAGTCCAAAGAAGAGTCTAAATCCTCTGGTTAGTTTTACCATTTCCAAAGAAATTCTTTACAATTAAAACTTGACAAATACCCACTCCAATGAGAGCAATACTTTGTATAAGTGACCACCAAAAAACCCTGCTTGAGCTTCTACTGACAATGGCATGACTCTTGAAATTCTTTTTAGTCAAGTAGGCCTGGTAATGCTGTGCTTTCTCAAGTGTGTCTTTGATATTTGCAAGAGTATTCTGTTAATGAGAGAGAGTGAGAAAGAATTAAGTCACACATATAATTATTACAATAATTATTTTGATAACACAAAGTTGGAAATTGAGTAATTTTCAATTTACAGTGGACAAAAACCTTGTACAGAATAATATAAACAATATCACAGCCTTTTTTACATTTTGCAAGGGCTATAGGTATAATAATATTAGTTATCCGTAATAACACCAAAGAGTATTTCTCTTGGGAGCCCAAGAAAATAATTGTCAAATTTCAAAAGAATTGTGAAAACTCAGTGTAAGATGCCATTTTCTGAAATTTGACATTCATTTTCTCGGGATCTCGTAAGAAATTTTCTTTGGTGTTATTACAGATACCTAATTACATCTATAGCTCTTGAAAAATGTTAAAAAGAATTCAATATTGTGTAAATTATTCTGGTACAAGGTTTTTGTCCACTGAAAATTAAACTATTATTACTCAATTTCCTGATGGACTTTGTCCTAATTATATTCATAAATATGAGTTTTAAAGCTTATAAATAATTCACAAAAAGGAAACAGAGAATATCTGCTTGAAGGACATAAATAGACTGCCATTTAAAACTGATTACCAAAGGATTCTGCAAACTATAACTTCAATTGATTTTTTTTTCAAAAATTACTGATAATTTTTAAGGGTTCTTAATATGACCCACATCAAGGCAGTGCATTATTGGATAGCAAGACAGCCTCTGAAATTGGTCCAAAAAAGAACCCCTGCCCCACTCACTTGGGCTGGGCTGGAGAGCTCACAGATAGTGTTTTAAAAAAAAAAATAGCGCATTAATTTTGAGAGTGTGTTTGAGAGTGCTCTAAAAAGTTATCATGTTAGAAAGTATTACAGTATTACACAATGATGTGAATGCTATGCGCGCTGTGATTGGTCGTTGCCCATGATCTGTTAGAGTACAGATACATGGATGACGTCAGGGGAAACTTGTTTTCTTTGTTTTGTTCAACATGGCACGCGGTTTTGAAAATGTTTGTGAGATTATTTCGGATTGAGGCAAGTGAAAGCTTCGGAAAAAGTTTAGCAGGAGCTATTTACAAAGAAGAAAAATGGAGAAACGGAGATCAAAAACGCTACTGACTACTAGACAATGCCTAAACTACAAGAAATCTTCACAACAGTTGCCATAGTGTGTCTTTGCTACGAGAGACTTGCTGTTTTGCAAAATGTTTTCACTATTATTCTTCTTTGAGCAAGGAAAGACGGTGAAAAACTTTACACAAGTAAGATAAAGAAGAAGCTAAGATGAAAAGTTGGGTTTGGGACTTAAAAAATGCCTAAACTAGCACAAATCCTCAAAAGGTCAAGTGGTTCGGTCTTTTTCTTTTCTGATCATTGTATAAAACAAATAGATTCCATGTTGCCGTGGGTCTGTTCAGTAATAGATCACAGAGGACGTCAAAATGTGGTAAAAACAACAGTTACACACTCGCCTGCGGCTCGTGTGCCACTTCTTCGTTTTTACGACATTTTGACGTCATCTGTGATCTATTACTGAACAGACGCACAGCAACATGGAATCTATTTGTTAATCTTATAGCCTGCAACCAAGCTCTCAGGGGCATTCTGGTGGCGGGGCAGGGAAAGGAAGAAGAGCACGCAACTATGTCTCTAGAATTTGAAATCCGCCTCCAATTCCCCTGTGGCTCTCCATCAACTGAGCTGTGAGATTTCCAATCATGAGCGTGAAGCAGAAATGAGCGAAAATGTCAGCAAACATTGAAAAACACGTGAAAGATCAATCAGCCAATCAGCATTTCACTTTTTTGACCTTTTTCGCTTCTTAATGTCATCTTGCTTGTGCAAGATATTCCAACTTTTGTTTTCCAGAGCTCACAACAAGTTGCAAGATTTCACATGTTTTCAAAACTTTTTTTTTCACTAGAAGAAAATTTTACAAGCCTCCCAACTGCCATAAGACATATATGCCATTTCCTGACTAGTGAACTTGACAATTGTTTGACTGTGTGCATTAATTGATAGCAATTAATGCACAGACTTGTACATCTTTTTACAGATATGTTCTAGTTTAATGACTTACAGTGTGTATTTTCTGGCAATAAAGACAATGTTTTTTTGAGGCCAAAATTTGGAAAAACAAAGTAGGCATGGACCTCTGAATTAGCACCTAACCCTTGACTAAAATTTAATAATTCCCCCCCCATGATTAAATTCAAGCATTTTACCCCGTGTAGTCAATTTTGACACTAAAAACCAATAATTGTTGTTCAATTGGTTTTTATATAACTTTTGTTTTGCTAGAGCTCACAACAAATATGACAAAGATTTCACATGTTTCACATGTGAAGCAGTTTGAAATAGAAAATATTTGAATTAACTAAAATCTTTGTTGTTAAAGTGATTCAAAATAGATAAATTCACAATTAATACTGGGAAACATGAATGGCCCAATTAAACAATGTAAAATTCCTTCCCGAAACAATACCACCCAGAGATATTCTTAGGATACTAGCCAAACCTTCTTTGATAAAGTTTCGATTAGAAAAGGACACCATATAACTGGATCTGAACACACGCAACAACGTAGAGCATTTCCAAAATAGTCATTACTAGCACTACCGGCTCATTACTAGCCTGCATAGCAGTAGGTGCTTGGAAGTATTTGGGCACAAGAAAAAAGGGGCGCACGAGAGGGAGACACGCGAGGGGAGGCTGTATCCCTTGCTCGCCCTGTTCTTTCTTGCACCAACCACTCCCACCCACTACACCTTGTTTGAAACCAGATGAAACTGGTTTTATGTTCGATTGTTGCAGAGTTCGATTTCCGCACGTTTGATTGTGTTCAATAGGAAAAACTTTTGGGTGAGTTCCATTGGGTTCAATAAATATTACTGAACGCTCAATTGACTACGCCAGGTTTACTGTAAAGAGATATAGACACTTCAAGAAGCTGAAGGGCTAAAAATAACATACCCTAATGCTCTCCATTTGCAATTCAGTACCATCAAAGTCACCGTCTTCTAATGACTTGACCCAGGAATCCTCATCAGAAGTATCGAGACCTAAGTCCACATACACAACTTTCTGTGCCAGAGTACTGAATGAATTATCAAAGCAGAATGAGTAGACACCAGGTTCACTTGTTACAATACTGTGTACCTCGTCTCCTTTCTTTTCATCATTCACTAGCACAACTCCATTGGGTGATACTACTTGAAAGCTAATGTCCATTTCTCCACCTCCTTCAACAACCTTGATATTAAAACAAGTTAAAGGTTATAGAGTGAAAAAAACTGGCTAAGTTGACCCCGTATTAAGGTGTCTCCCTATATATATCTTCCCTGCTTTCTGTAACACAAACTTGTATTTGGAAGAAACCTATCTTAAGCTAACACAAGCTTGCTGTAGTCCTGAGGAGTCCACCAAATACAAGACTCTCAGAGTTAAACCTTTTAAGGCAAAAAAATATAAACTTGATCTCTAAGGAACATTCCTAATGATGAATAAGTAATTAGAGTCACAGTATATAAATTGACATGTATAGTATGTGTGTGCATGAGATTTCTGTAGTTACTGGCATATAAAAATTAATAACAGTGTAAAACTCTTTCAAATTTTAAAGAGAATACAGGATAAGTAGCACTATTCTGTTTCCTATCTTCCTCTTCCCTTTTAGGTCATAATTGTGCAAGAGATTAATTAAATACCAAAGTCAGCTGGGTGTAAAATAATATTGAAGGGATTTGGCTTGGTTATGTATTAGTGATGACAATTTGGTCAATTCATGGGAAATTTAAGAATATATATTACCTCTGAACCTGCTACCTTCAACCACATTAGAATAATGTGCATAATACAAAAAAAAATTATTGCTGAGCTTATTCCAAAGCTAACACAGAAACTCTGATTTTAAAGAAAATATTGAACTTTAGTTTTTACCAAATCAGTGAATAGCAATTTTCGCACTTTTTGATTGGCTCCCGTAACTTGGAATATTCTTAGCTATTCACTGTTTTGTGACCCGAGCCAAGATGGCGTCTTGTTTTGAGGCATTTTGAACAGGATAAAAAAATATTCAAAGTGATGGATCGTTCTCTGTGTCCTACAGGATGCATTTGATGAATTATTTAGGGTCTTTGGGGATTTTTATAAATCAGGGAGGCAAGATGCAAAGGTGACAAAATCACTGAAAATTAATCAGAATTAATTGTAAGGATTCTAAATGTAAAGTATCGTAATATTGTTTGTGTGTCAGAAATAAATAAATAAAAAAAACTTGGCCCACAAAAAAAAAAAATCACTGAGTAATTTATTGTGGTTTAATCAGACAAAAACAAAAATAAAACTGGAACTGGAACTGGATCAGATGATGGCAACAGTGCTTGAACAACGCCGAGAAAGGGTTGGAACTGATAAAAATGATATATCCTACTCACTGCTTTATCTCAGGTGTGAATTTTTGAACTTAATACTTATTCAACAGAATTACTGAATGAGGCTGAGTATGAAATGAGGTAATTGAGGATGGCATTATCCACTGAGGCCAAAGCCCCGAGATGGATAATAGCCTCTGAGATCTGCATAATTCTTCATGTCACGTATGAAAGCTGAATTCAATGACTGTTTTATGATCAATTCAAAATATTTCTACTTTCGTAACAGTCTATCCTCCTTGTAGATTTTCTTCAAAACGTTTGCCTGTTTTTTGGCATATTTTGAGCAAATGAACAAATATTTTACTGTCCACGTATATACTCTTCAAAAAGTAGATGATATCTATCGAGCAATATTTTTTGTGTATTCTAGCATTTTTTCCGTTCAGTTAGAGACAGTAATGGGGCCATTTTGTCTTCAGATTGCTGTAAACTCTCTCTTTCTTTAAATTTCAATCAAGCCTAAACAGCTAGCCTGCCGCGCTGCCACGTTGAAGCGAGCTTGTGATTGTATATTGGGATAATATACCATCGCATCAATGGTATATTGCCTGCAGCTTCAAAATCTGGTCAGTGCCAGCTGGTTTTGAGGAGTCGGCTGGGGGATTAAAGTAAGTCACAAATGGCAAAATATTTGATAATGATCGAGTAATGATAACTTTCAAAAAGAACAAAAATTTCCAACAAAATTATAAGATAAACAAACACATATATAGCAACTATAAAATAATTACATACTTTAGGAAAGATACATCATCCTTGCTTCAAGTGTAATAAGTAAAATTATGTGAAATAATGCAGAGTATCTTTTTCATGTATTGGAATGTGGTAAGTGTTTCACAAAGATCGAGAGTCTGTATTGGGATCAGTCAAATCTCCAAAGTTTCAACTTCATGAAAGGGTTCACGATTTTATTTTAGCACACTAATAAGCAATGAAAAGGGTTTTTTAAGACATAAATAGTTGCCTAGCAATGGAACCTGACTAGGAAAAATTTTTCTTTCAGTTCATGGAGCAACCAGTCATTAAGCTTAGTTTAGCTTAGGCTTACATATGTATCATATTAAAATTTCGTTTTATTGCATCTTTGGAGTCGTCAACAAGTCAAGTATTGGAGAACTCCAGTTGTTAAGCCAAGGAAACGTCTTTAGAGCTAACTGTAGATGTTAATACACAACTTCAGCGTTAAACTGCCGAATTGTTTCATTTACTACCCATCTTTGGATACACTACACAAAAGTTTATTCAGCGGACTGGACAGTAAACAGTACTCGTAATTTAAAAATAAAAGGACAACCTTCACAGTCATAAGTCAGGACATTCTTACCTGATATTCTATTTCCAATGATTTATTAGTATCGATTTTTTCATAGAAGCAATTTACTCTCCCAGCTTGTACTACTGTTGTAAAGCCATTAATCATCGCTGAAGACACAGGGAGTAAAATAAGCCATTGTAAAAATGCGAAGAAGAAGCGTTTCATTGGCGACGCCATCATCGCAAGAAAGGCGAAGACAACTAATGAATGACTATCAGCACAAATCAAGACAGACTGTAAAGATGTCACTAAATAAATGCGGTTTCGAACTGCTTGTGGCTAATTTAACATTCTGCATAATGTCCAAAATGGTACGTGTCCACTTCCCATGGCCCAGACGATTACAAACGCTCCCAGAATTCTTTGCACTCTGCATGGCCTGGATCGCGACCCAAGCGAGGACCTCTGCATCCCAAGGGAACCCCAAGCCTACGTTTGCGTGGCTACGTGTTGGACAATACTTTATTGTTTTTATTCCCATTCTTTTGGCAAGAGTTTGGCCCCAAAATCTCGATCATTCCCTAGTTTTTCAAACGTTGCCATAATCAGTTGACAACGAAGTTTATTCAGTTAGTTCGGGGGTGCTTACCATTTGACAGAAAAATCCGGTTGGGTTGTCAAAAGCATAATGGTAAGCGATTTACCAGTTTACCGTAGAAATGCCACATCCGTTACGGTTTGAATCCAAAAAAAGGACGACTTTGTGTCGCGTGAGTCTGGAACCAACAAGGAACTGAGAAATTGGTTAATGGTAAGCAACATTCTGTTTGGTTCGTACCAACCGGAATGAACGGACTACCTCAAAGAGGTACTCCTCAATTTTCGGTTGGAATTTCCGAAAAGTGACCTTACCATTTACCTCCCATCCGGAATTTCTGAAATTTTCTGTCAAATGGTAAGCACCCCCGGGTCTTTCCAATTCTTGGTTTTCACATGACGTCACCAAAATTCAAACTAAGAAACTATCGCTTCCTCAGAGTTTCTACTTTCATGTGATATTCGAGCACCTTAAAACCTTTACACAAACAAATTTTCGGTTCGAAAGGGTTCTTTGTTTTGCGATACAGGACGCTTGAATTTTCAGGCTTTTGCGTGACGCGGCATTTAGATGGCGGCCGGGAAAGCTCTTATGTGGGTCAAAAAAATTACAGATTTTTGGAGAGTTTGCTATCTAAACATTCCTTGTCTTAGAATAAATATTGCTTTAATCTTAATTAGTCAAGCGAAGAATTCACTAATAAGTAGAAAAACTCAAAAACAGATGTTTCTGTTGATTTCCGGCGGCCATATTTGCGCCCCTGAAAAGGAAACAAACATGGTCATGGCGTCTCCTCACAAAGCTTTATAAATTTGGAAGTTGAAAAGCAATTTGTACGTCTTTGTTGCCCGTTTTACCGAAGCTTAAGGAGGACAGGTTAGGGACTTGCACTGTGTTCGTCTTGGAGAGGGTCAACCAGAAGAAGCAAAGAAAGACAAGGACTAACACTATGTGTCCGTTAAGCTAGAGATCAGAGACTTGACTCAAGTATGAATTCATGATGAATTGCTTGCGCTGATCGTTGGGATAAGCCTAACGTATGACAAAACAAATAAATTTTTTTCAATCAATTTTCCGAGTGGAATTTCCGATGAATATTCAGTTGCGCGCAACAAGAAAGCCATGCCTTACAATGTACGACATCCAAACCTTCGAGAAAAAAAAAATACTAGCATATCTCCTACGAAGAGGCGATTTTGAATCATCACGTTATACTGCCTAACGAGAAGGAAGAGGGTAGGATAATAGCCATACAGAGACCTCTATGTTGAGAACTATTCCCAACGATACGGAACTTTAAAAACCCGGTTTAATGCGGACAGTTCATGATACTTGATTTCTTTCAATTTTTTTTGGTGCTCCCATTTAGGCGCTTTCACTGTGCGTTTTTACGTGGCATGAGTTTCTTGTTTCAAACATCCTTACATTGAGGGCACTGTTTGAAGTTAGCAGGCATGGATTGGAACGGAAACTTATGGATGTGTAAAGTGTACAATTAGAAGGATTTAGTTCTAAGTGAATAAAGTATAGCCTAACAAGGATTAACAATCACACACGTCGTTGTTGTATTTCCTTCAACACTTTTATTAAATAAGTTTTAAAGCGGAAAACTCGCCTGATTTGTATGCTATTAAAATACCAGACTACCCGAGGTGCGCAGAAAACGTAGTATGGAAAATCAGTGCATGAGTAATGAAAAAAGCGTTGCAGAAAGTAACGCCCCAGGCAGCCTCCATGACAGGAGTGTAGCCTGCGTGTTGGACGTTCGTAAGTGAAGGGAGTTTTAGCATGCGTTAAAACGTGCTCCTACATTTCCTTTTTTCCCTTTCCCAAAAGTGAAAGGATAGTCCCACGGCGCCAAAAAGATAGTGGCGAGAAGAAAGCGCAAAACGTTCATTCTCTCCCCGCTCATCTCATCTCCATGCCTTCTCAGTGTTCCCTTACTTCATGCAGAGGCTCGAACCCTTTCTCTATTCACACCTGATATATGGCTTTGTGGGCCCCTTTCTTCAGTTTCCTTTTTAGTGATAGTAGTTTATTATTTAGTAGTTCTTAATGCACACCGCAAGTTGTCCTTCGCACTTACAACCTAGCAGCCTTGAACAGTCTTATATGATACGCTTCAGTGTCGCATAACTGACGATACTTTACATGCTCTTAAAAATGTTTGGCCTGTTAACGGGTGGCAATAAATCTGGTTCTGGTAGTTAGTTTGAATGGTAAAAAGGTATGCTTCAGGTAGTCTTGCAAAACTGTTTCTTAATCGGCTTTTAGTTACCTTTAACCCATTCACAACGCGTTGGACAAAAAGGGGAAACAATCCGTCTCAATAAGAAAGAACGATTCCCATTTGGTCTCATCAGAACCCCTTATGAGTTTCTGGTCTCACACAATAAAGCCTGAATTAGTCTACTCGGGAACTCCCTTTAAATACGTTCTGAAATGATACTAGATTTGAGCAAAGACTGAATGCGGAAAAAAACATGCAATGAAATAAGCATTTTATGCCGACATTAGAAATGAAAAAGTCACGAGCAATGAGAAAGTTACCCAAAAATACCGTGTTCTCCACATTTGTAATGAAAAGGCGAGTGTCAGAGGGACAGAATGATTCACTCAGATTTGCTTATAATACCCTCAGATGTTTTGTCAACCACTGTGTCAAGATTTTGATCTTGACAGTCAAGCTCTTTTCCCTCGTGCGTCACTTCCTGAGACAATGGTGAAGTAACTCCATTGCATTGCTTAACGTCTGTTTCAGTGAGCTTTGATGGCAGAGTTGTATTTGGGTTTGGGTAAAGTCCATTTGAAGAGAAGTCACCACTCTCCTCGCATCCACCAGATTCACTGACGCTTGTCTCGTAGCAGGTTAGGTCCAGCAACAATTCACAATCATTCTTAGAGTCTTTCTCTTTCAAACCAACAGTACCTTTCATATCGGTACAACTATCAGCTAACTCTTTTGTTTCACCATTCAGACCCAAGGGCATAGACTTCGCAGGTAAAAAACTGTCCTCGGATTTTGCATCCGTTTTCTCCAGGTCTGTCTGTGGTGACAACGCTGGCTTTGTTTGTGATTGTACCACCTTCACGCCATCACACTGTGATATCTTAGTCCTGGAGATTGTATTAGACGCTTCAGTGGTACTTAGACAAAGTGAGTCCGCCTTGAGGGCACATTCGTTAGGAGATGTGACATGTGAAGATGTTACTTCCTGGTCATGTGAAGACGCGCACGTCAATTTTGCCTCCTCAGGACTTACCAACATTACTGCTGATTTGCTCTCCAAGGTCACTGGAGTGGTTGATACGTCATTTGACGATATTTCCTTTGGGCCAACTTGTTTATTGCTGGTAGATGAAGCAGTTATCGTGGGTTTTGACTTAACAGGACAAGTGATCGATGACGTTGAACCGATACCCATGGTTAAAATACTATTTGGTCCTTTGCTAAAAGCTGGCAACATCGATGCCGTTGCCATTGTTATTGGCAGAACAGCGGTGCTTTCCAGAGCTACCGTCGAATTAGCCGCAGTCACTCCTGATGGACACACTGTCTCTTTAACAAATGACTTGTTGCCACTGACAACAGAAGAAACTTTCGTCTCCACTTGCGGTAAGCTGTGTCCAGCTTGTGACAAGGTTGGTGCTGAAGTGACAGATGTAGTCGGTACTCTGTCTATTCCTTGTGGTATGGTTGTAGTACTTGTTGTTGTTGACATAGTCGTCACAAGTAGTTTGCTTCCAGATGCTACTGCAGTAGTCTTAGCTTCAGATGGCTTCATTCCTATTGGAGACATTGCTGCCTGGACAAATACTTTGTTGCCAGTGATAACAGAAGAAGTCTTTGCCTCCACTTGCGGCACACTTTGCCCGGCCGGTGCAATAACCACCTTTTGCCCCTGGGCAGTCTGTGCAATTTTTGCATTTCCCAAAACAGAAATAGCTGTTCCGGATAACTGAGTTGTACTTGAAGGTCTGATAATGACCAACTGCTGCGAGGCTGCTTGGGCAGACATGGTCCTGGTCCCTCCCTTGACTGTGAGTGGCACGATCCCTCCCGCCCCTGGGTGCTGCACTAGAATAACAGGAGATGATGCACTTGTGGTACTAACAAGACCTCCTGCCTTGGCCGTTGATAAAGTACTGCCCGATTTAGCGGGTGCAGCTGAGATAACAACCTTATGAATGGATGTGCTTGGAGGACGCGACAATGAGCTAGCAACCGCAGATGATGTAGTGGGAGTTAACAGTGCTGACGACGAGGTCACCACACACGCAGGTGACGATGTGCTGCTGCCCCCTGCAGCAGTAGTCACAGTCTTTGCTTGAATCAAATGTTGCTGTGATATAGGTACTGCTTTCATGACTCTTAGAGGAACTGATACCTCAGATGGAGAAGATGTTGATGAAGATGAAGGAGCGGCAGATGCTGATGTTAAGCTGCCAGTGCTTCCCAGAAAAGCAGTGTTCAAAACCTTTCCTTGAACCAGGGACTGCTGTGATACAGGAACTGCTTTCAGTACTTGCAATGGAACTCCAGAACTGGTCACAAACATAACCTTACCTAAGCCTGGTACAGTAGCAGACAAACCAGCTTGGGACTGTAGACTAGACGCAAGGCTAGAAGCCGTTGATGCGAGATTTTTAGAAACTGTGACAGGATGAACTGAGGCAATACTTTGGACATGAGACGTAGGCACTGAAACTAAGGATTGTTTCTTAGTCACTGTAGATGATTGTGATTTGTTCAAGATATTTGGCTTGGGGTGTATTCTAACAGATGGTGCGTTCTTGCCCTGCAGGGTGATACTGGGGCGAGACGTTGATCCCACCGTAGTTACTCCATCAGTTGCCACAGTATTAACACAACTACTGGAAACGACTTTCTTGTCGGCACCTGATGGGACTGCAGCAACCACATTAGCTAGTCTTATCTGTTTATCCATCTGTAGACCTGCTGGCACATGGCTGACTGGTTGTCGATTTGCTTGTGTGAATCCAGCGGAAGTTGCTTGCGTGACAGCCGTGACTGTAGCTGAAGAGACTACAGTAGTTACTGACTTCTTTCGCTTCTTCTTCAGTTTCAGAGGCGCTGTTTGAATGGAGATGGAGCATGGATCATTTTCATTATCACCATCTGTAGAACCTGAAGGCTCTTGACATTCCTCAACAATGTCAGCTTCATCAGCTGCCTTTCTCTTTTGAGGAAGCACAATCGATGTTCCAGTGCTACCTTGGTTTTCAGTCATTTCACTATCTTTAGTTGCTTCCATACGTGTCGGCGTTTTGCTTCTCCTCCCTTCTTCATCTTCTAAAACGAAATCTTCATCACTTGACATGTTCTGGGCACCAGCGTCTTCGATTTCATCTGCACTGTTTTCTTCACTGCCCCATTCCTCTCCTTCTTCGACAGGAAGGACTTCTTCAAGAGATAATAAAACAACAACAAAAAAGTTAAAAACTCAAAACCAAGTAATAGGGTGGAATGCACGTAACTTGAACCTTCAGTGAAAACAAAGCTGTTCTGATCTGAGTTAGCTGGAGGAGTTCCGCTTTCTGGGACAATAACAATTTTTTTTTCATCCATCTTGTGTTGTTCGTGCATGGCTGTCTTTCTCTCCCCCCTTTTTCAACTGCTTGCCAGTGTAACGGGGACCTTGACGCCTTTCAAGGGGGTAGTGGCGATTGCCAGCCTTGGGATTGGTAATCAGTCTAGGCGTGGGTAGTTGGCCTCCAGTAGAAACCCCTGAACATCCAAGAAACCAAACTTCCATTTCGCGATGCAGGCTTTAAGATGAGAAAATTGTACAAAAAAATGATGATGTACTACTATACCTGGCTCATCCTCTGGTTCTGGCTCCTGACTCTCTTTCATGATTTTAATCTTTGCCTTGCTCATCATTTTACCAAATGACATCTCATACTTCTCTAACTCCTCCAACAAAGCTATCAGAGTTTGATGCAGGTCAACTTCACAGCGCTTCCTTGGGGGTGGGGGCTTGGGTTTTCTTCCACGTTTTGTAGGTGGAGGGGGTGGATCATCAAATTTCTCACAGAGTTTTTTCAGGGTCTCAATATCACACGCTGCCAGTTCAAAGCCTTCGACAATCGTGTTTTTTGGCTCCAGTGGATCTTCTTGCTCGGATGGTGGAGGTGTTGGAGGAGGGGGAGTTTCTGGCTCAGGTGACGGTGTACTACTCCTCAACTACAACAAATGAAAGTAACGTAATTCATACTACAGCATCTGCCATTAATATTGCAACCAAATGGTCAAGGACAATCAATCAAAGAAAAGAATGTCCCACTCCATGAGCTAGAGCACTTAATGGTACGATGCTAAGGTAAAAGTGTTTTAGCGTATAATCCCTCGAAATGGTATCAGATTTTGGTTCTGGCTCATGGACTCACTGGATTAACGGAAGGAGCAATTTCAGCAGAAATGAGGCTCTAAAGAAAATTAAAGGAACAAAAAAAATTCCATTTAACAAAATGCAAGACTTTAGGAATGTGGTTCATTTATGATCTGATCTTGAATATGATCATGTGCAGTGAGTCAAATTTAGAAGATTATCTTTTATATATCACTGTTGTAAAGAAGTCGTTTTTCTCTTGTATACTGGCTTTATGGGAAAACGGTTGGTTTTTGGCCCTGATATCGTGAAATCCATTTAGAATTCAAAGGGATTTGATGCTGGTTTTTAACTGTCTCATGTACATCAAAACTCAACTCTATGCACCCCTGTGCTTTCACTGATTACTGCTGACAACCTTGTCATAAGCAATCAGAGAGATAAAAGTGTCAACTACACTGTAAAGCTGTGACGGAAACTATCAACTTACCTTTCTAAGTCTTGTATTTCGCTTGGATGGGATGGGTGTGGCAGCCCTGGCTGGAGTCACTTTAGGCTTCACTATGGCTGGTGGAGGTGTTGTAACCTTGATGAGTAACAAATGTGGTTAGCTAATCTTTCATAAAGTTAATATTATAATTATGCACGAACTTGGAAAAGTATTGGTATTTAGTAGTTATCTAGCTTACGACTACAGCTGTGTTTCACAGGATCATTTTGGCCTTAAAAGTTTGATACCAAAGTTGTCTACATCCAGAAACCCAACACTACCGAATTAATTACTGTGGGATTCTGATTTTCAGAATCTACTTAAGAAAGCTACTGGTAAATTGGTTTGGATAATCAAAAGGTTTGAAACTTTGGTAGTCAAAATTATAGTACTTGCCTTGTTAAGGGAAATTAGTTTTGGTTTGAATTATCCAAGAGTAGAAAACTGGGGGTTCAAGAAATCAGGATTCTATTGTATGTAAACTTTGATTTAAATTATACATGTAAGTGTAGAAATTTTCAGGCGAAGACATAGCCTGACATAGCCTGTATACAAACGAACCCTCCCCTTAGAAAAAGAATCAAGGAGAGAGAGTCTCTTTCCCCAAGTTTTTTTGGAGGGGGGGGGGGTGCATCTGTACACAGGCTAGCCAAAATACAGATGTTCCTCTTGCTAAATGATTTAGGGGGCAGGGAGTGATGAGAGCTGACTGAAGACACACTACTTATTTTCATGACTTCTTTCTAAAGAAACCAAGAGATAACTAATACATAGAGGATATTACATGGCCGCGCGGAGATACGAAATTTCTCTTCGTGTGTTGAAAAAATATTTCACTCGTTCGCTGCGCTCACTCGTGAAATATTTTTTCAACACTCGAAGAGAAATTTCGTATCTCCAAGCGGCCATGTAATGTTCTATTTATTATATAAACACCAATGAACTACCAAACCATCTCACTTTAATAGTTTTTGGGTGTGGAAGGTGCGATCTATTATGTAGCCAGAGCAACACTGATATTTTCACGTGTGAAGATAACATGTTATTTTCACATGTGAAGATATCAAGTTTTCGCGCGAAAGCTCACCTGGTATTTCGTTGGCGTTTATATAATAAAGACAAATCTTTACTGTTTTACAATAAGTTCAATTTTGTATTAGTTGCACCTTTTTCTTTCTTTTGCTGAATGTTGGAACCTCCAAAGGACATTGCTTGTAGATACGCAAATCAGTAGCAGAGAAGATAGGAAAATACAGATATGTCCAGTTATTGGCATCATTCCCCAAAAGCAATTCTCTTTGATCAGTTGGAGCAATAGTGGTCAGGTGATCACGAAAATCATAGTCCTTCACCTGAAAGAAAAAAAAACAGACATGTCAAAGTAAAAGTCCAATTTAAGACAAAACAGCCCTAAAGAAATACACACAAGGCCTACTTAATTGATTGACTAACTTCACTGAATTTTATTTTCTAAGCAAAAACATGGTTGTCTGAATTGCTGAGTGCAAAATTTCACAAAAGTTTTTCTCTGACAAATTTGATCACGTTGGAGAGGACCTTCAAAAGCACCAATGATTTGCACAGAACAAGTGCTTTTACGGTGGAATCTTAGAGGACCCTTTTTGTGAAATTAATTTCATCAGATTTTCAGTCTTACCAGGCTGTTGTCACACAGACATTTAAGAATCCACACTCGTTGATGCAGAGTTAGGTCCATATAGGACTTTTCTAGAAGAGGATTCACTTCACCTGGAGAGAAAAAAAAAAAACAAAAACAAAATTATTGATGTTAGCCATAACTTCAAAAAAAAATATATTGCATATTCTGCCCTATCAATTCAACATCAGATATCCAAGTTTATTAAATTTGTGTGTTATTATCTACAGTTGCTTTAATACAGTTATCATTGATTGTTGTCGTTATCATCAGTGAAAGCCTCAATGCAAGCCTTCAGTTGATCATTTTGTCTACTGAGAGGCTGCTGCTACCAACAATGCTTATCTGCAACAGATTAAATTTGACTGCAAATCCTGTATTATTGACAGATAATATCATCAATCTAATAACAACATCATTAATACAAGCTACATGTACCCACCTATAACTTCAAATAGAGTCATATCCAAGCCATATTGTTGACAAGTCTATAACAATAAAAAATGGAATCTGTTAATGTGCCAGGAAAAAAAACTGGTTATGACAGTCAACATTCTTGGGAAAAATCTCTGTCCCATTACTGCCTAACTGAAAGCGTTTATTGCATATTCTACAATAACAAATTGGCATCATTCCAAAATCAAATCTCAGTGCTGTATGAATTCACAGAAGTACAAGATAATTATTATTATTATTTTAGGAACAACTTTTAAATATGTTACTTGTATCATTTTATACACATAGAGCACTGTATCAGTTTGGTTCAGTGAAAACAATCAGCCTCTTCTGCCATTACGGTCAAGATACATACATACAGCATGGCTCATTTCTAGCAACATCTAGCGACCACTGGTGATTTAATTTTTCTTTGGGCAACAAGGGAATCTTTGTTCTTAAACAAAACTAAAGAGCTTGTTACTCAATACTTAAGAGGTTTGGAACTCATGGGCTACCTACAACTTTATGCAAAGTCGAACAAAAACAAGAATGTCATAGTACACTTACAAATTCTTGGCCATCCTTCTCAGTAGCTTTGTACCAGCTGTTTACTCTGTCACAGAGTTTGGATTCCCAAACTTTGAACTTCATGGGTGGCTTCTTGAACAAACTACCCAAAATGAATTGAAAGATTATAAGATCATGTGTAGCAACAACACAATCACCTACATAGCACTGCTAGACAGTTACAGAGCATCCTAAAAATTCCTAAAAGAAATATTATTGTGGTTTACAACAAACTTGATGGTTTGTCTACCGTCCTGCAGTACCAATATTTTATTAATTCAAAATATCAAATCTTGTATAATGTTTGTAACATGAATACATTAATTTTGTACCAAAATTGAAAGACTCACGAGTTGATTGTTTGGGAGGAGCCTCCCTGTACATATGTATTTTCCAGTTTTTTGTCAAATCACTGGCAACTTATTTAGCATTGCATTAATTAACTAATCAATAAAAACTGCCAATGACTTAAAGATAGATAAAAATGAATTATTCATCATTAAATATCTAACTTAGGCCTAGGCAAAACGTCAAACTTTTCATGAGATGAAACAAACTTAGTGAGTTAAGTTCATGAAAAGTTCAACGTCTGGCTCAGTTAAGTTCATCTGAATGAGTTTAGATTGTCATGTTCTATCCGTCTGCTTCAGACAGATAGAACGTCTGGAGATCCTTTCTGGGACAAACAGGGATCTTTACATGCAACAAACTAAACTAGTAAATTAAAAAATTGTATGCGAATGTGTATTTAGCCTCATTCAGGAGAAAATTTACTAAAATTGCTCTTTTGTCTGATTCAGTTGATTGGTTTGACGCATCCCAAGTTTGACGTCTGACCTAGCAGATGACTTTAACTTAATTTAGGTCAACCCAAATTAGAGTTTGTCCCATGAAAAGTTCAACGATTGGCTTAGGCCTTAATGAGCATTTAGCAGAAACTGTTACATGTAGATGCATATTCTAAATGTTATACAATGCAGGACTGAGAAAGGCCAAAAATTTATAAACAGCACTTCCTCTCCAAAAAAACAGAAACTGAGGCCCAAAAATATGGTGAAAAAAGTAATGAAAAAATAAGGACATTATCACCTCTTCCTCTGATGTGGAGTAATCAAAAGAGCTGTAAATATTCTGGCCAGTAATGAAGACTTGTTAGCATAAACAAAACCCAGTTCAAGTTCAGTGATACTGAGGTCAGGAATATACAGAAAATCTTTCAACAGAAAAAGCAAGCCAGCCAAGGAGGGAATCTGTTGAAAAGGAAAATAAAAATTCAATATTAATTTTTAAACAGAGGCAAAGTTGTAGGGGTTTCAATAACATTTTCTATGAAAACCTGCCAAAGGTGTAATAGGTGGATATGGCCAGGAAAAGGGCTGTAGGGCTCCTTTTCCCTAAAATCTCAACAGATAGGGGCAAGGGGCCTTGAACAGGACGGTAAACAACTGATAACCAGCTTTTAATTGAACTGCTTGAGTTGTCCAGTAGCCCAACGATGAGAACAATGACAGTGAAAGAAATAGAAAAAATGGAATTAAAAAAAATGTATCAGTCATGTCAAATGCTGTTCCTAACACTGTACATACATATCAAAAAAGAGAGATTTCATTAAACCCAACACAACTACTCCTTACCTCTTAAGAGATACCCTGTACTGTGTTAAAATTTAATAAAAATTGGTCTCAGCTGGGAGGAATAACAATATCATTTCTTCTAATCAAATAATATTATTTTGGCAGAGAAAAATGGAACAAAGGTTACAGTCAAACCAAGTCAAGCGTACCCCCTAAGATTCTATTAATGAATTGGTTATTTGAAAAATGAATCCGTTAGTCGTTCCCGTAACTGGTGTCAAATTCAAAGCGGCATTTCTGCATGCTTAATGAGCAGTGAATATTTTACGAGAACTTCTCTGTATTTGATCAGATTGGAAATCTTTGAATGGATTAAGCTTCTTAGAAGACATTTACATCAATTTCAGGAAAATGGAGCTGGTAGAAATTTCATAACTGCCTCGCGTGTGAATTCACGGCTCATTACACAAGCAAGAGTGCAGAGATCAATCTGAAATCTACAACTAGCAACGGATTCAACTTTTGAATAATAAATTCATTAATTTATTCTTGGGGGGTACGCTTGACCTGGTTTGACTGTAACTGTATTTAGACATTTAACTTTTCAAATCTTCAGGAATTCATACCTCCCACATTGAGTGAAGTTCCTTGAGCACATCTGTTCCGAGCTCCTTCTCTTCCCACTCAGCCAAATCTTGAAGCAGAACTAAATTTGCTTCCTTCTTTTCCTTCTCTCGAATGCGGCGTCGTTCACGCTCTTCTAAGTCCTCTTGGATTTTAAGTCGAGTAAGCAAAGAGGAGGATTCTTCTCCATTAATCATCTTGACATATGAATTACGAGCAGCAGCCCGTCGACGACCAGTTCCTGAAAATAACATAGGAAGAAAATTATCTCTTTTTAGCAATAATAATAATAACATATTTCAGCATGTTCACTGTCCATTAGTATAAGGATAACATTATACTAATTTCCAACTATTCTTGAACCCACTCTCAATACCTTAGTGAATGAGCCAGAAAAAAAGGTTTACAAAGACAATGCATGAAAATCCTTCATACAAGTTGAGATTCTTTCAATAGCTTTTCTACAGACTACATAGAATGATATGATTGCCACTGTAAATATTTGAACCTTGTTACTAAGGACACCCAGGGGTAAAGAAAGTAACTGCACGTATTTTGCATATATACTAGGTAAAGTTGTCTGCATTGGTTTCATAAATAAACACAGTATACGATTTTTTTTACTTGTCTGACATTATTTGTCAATTTTTATCCTGAATTAACAATGAAAAAAGGAAAAAAAAGATCAACTTGGGATTATTACCATCACTTGGGTTGGCCACTGATGCAAAATCACTCCTTAAGGCCATGGTTGCTTCCAAATTGACTTTATCTCTGAGGGATCTGTAAAACAATCAAAGACTCATGTTCATAACAAATTTAAAGAGTAAAGAAGAAGTTTCTACACAGAAATACATGGAGGTGTACTGGCATACAATGTCAGATGTAGATAATGATTATAAGAGAATGATGTCATTCTTTGTGATTTGTAGCTTTGTTTATCATTTGTCCCCCAAATAAGACTTCAAGACTTTATTATAAATTTTCTAAAGAATATTTTTGCCCGTGTCTTAGCACCGCAAATAGCTGTAGCTAGTCTAGGTGCGCCAAGAATAATACGAAAAGAAAATAACTGCAATTAAATTAAGGTTAAAAAAAGTAAAAAGCAAGAGAGACTCATCAGTTTTGCAAATAAATATGGAGCGGTTAACTAATTGCAAAAATTATAATCTTACGAAGAAAAACATATGAAAAAGATGCATTTAAAACTCGCTGTTTTTATAGGCAGGATTACAAAAAATTTAGTTCTGCTTTCTTTATTTTACGAATAATTTCATCTATTTCCTAATAAGTAATAAGTATCGCCAGTCTCCAGTATATCAAGCAATGATGCATGAATATTAAAGGCCATTAATTTGTTGCTAATCGCGACATTTCGACCCCTGGCTGCTGATCATCATCCAGCAACCTGATGAAGGCCAGCAGAGGGTGGTTATTGTATTGTGATCAATAACAAAGTGATCATTGTGAGACACAAGTCTTGGTAACTACAAATAATTGCACTACCTTTGGTGTTACTTTTTGTGCTCCATACAATTTTACTAAGGAAAAAACCTTGAAGTGTTCATTATAAATACCTGTTTAACAAGGCTAGCTTCTGCTCCAGAATTTTCTCCATCTTGTGTCCAAGTTTTGAGACCCAATGGTTTGATCCATTGTAGCGATAACAGTTTTCAAGAATCAGACGGATGTCAGCCACAACTTCTGTGATGCTGGTGTACTCATAGTTATTGAATTTACCACCAACTAAAGAGAAAATGAAAATAAATGAAATAGATTATATGTTGTTTACCAACTGTTCTGTGTGATGTAATGCTGGGTCTCCACTGTGGTCAGCTAGCCATCAAATGCACTATACTATGCCACTGTCAGCCAATCTATACAGCTCAGTCATGACCCACACACACCCAGACACCATCACACTGACTAGATTGTCAATCACAAACATGTCCAAGGATTAATGCCAAAATGGTCCTATTTCCATTATGAATAAAATGATATATTGTATTTCAATAATTCCTGTAATCATTCTAAGTAAAAAATATTTGCAAGTAAGTAAAGAAAAAGGCATCCCTACAAATCTTCACAGGATTCAATAGTCAATGATGTAGTCAAGTTACCTTCACAAGTTTGAAGTAATAAACCTCTTTAGTTGGGCAAAATAGATAGTTAAGGTCCTTTATTAGTTTACAAGCAACCTAAACAACCAACGTGGGGATTCCCTCGGTAGATATCTCTTTTTCCTAGAGTTTGAAGGGAAAACTGTTTGAAATTCTTTAGGCAACAATATCCTTTCTTACAATGCAAATTAACAGTGTTTTCCAAAACAAGAAATTTTAGGAAATGTAAGAGGACGAATGAGTACAAAATTTAATACAAGGAGTATAAATCACTATTCTCGATTATCATTAGTCAAAATAACAAGTTTTCTTGGAGCAAAGGACAACCAAAGCTTAATTTTTGTCAAACCGAGAAACGTCATTGCTTGTCAGCCAAAGTTTATGCAATACACAATTTACTAACAGGAAAGTTGAGCTTACAACTTAACTGCGTATTCTAATTAGTAAAATCTAACAAAAATGAATAATAAAAAGTTGTACTTACTCTCCTGGAAGCTCATGGGTTCCTTGACTTTGTCGTGGTAGTCCCAGAGTCCAAGTGATTCAGCATCAACTGGCTCCATAAATGGCCAAGTCACATTTTTGTACGCATCACTCGACATTTCTATGAAGACACGATATCCCTGTTGAAGTTCGTAACTTAACTTTGTAACATCTAACATGTTTACTTGTTGTACCGGCGATTTTTCTATTTCCGGCTGTTGAGCACGAGTTTCATTAACTTCAACAGGCGCGATTTCGCTTGATTCAATTTCTGCCTCGTCTGGATTTTCAATCACAACTGTGTCCGTTGCCATCGAGGAAGTTTCCATTCTGAGCTTGCAGCGTCTCAGCTAAGCTGAGAAACTGTGTAGTGAATAGAGGTTAGGTCCTCGCTGTCAAAGTGTTATTAAGGACGATAAAAGCTAAAACTAAACCATGCCAACTTCCCTCAATCGTATTGTTGATGAGCGGTTGCTGAACAAAGGACGTGCGCCGACTCAGTAAGTTCAAAACCACGCTGCAATAAACGAGAAGTTTTCAATTCAAGCTAAACTTTGGCCACTTTCCTCTGGTACAAATAAGATTCGTCATTGATTTCAAGACCCGAATTTCATGCAAGGAAAAAGTTCATTCACGAGAAGAAATAATCGATGCGGAATCAATTTACTAAATTAACCTTATCTAGTCCCAGACCCCTCGCCACCTTTTGGCTCGATCTAAAGACTTTGAAATTTTTTACTTTTCCCTGAAAAAATATTTCTTAAGTGAAATTAAAGGGAAAGAATATAGATTTCACTTGAAATCTAAAAACATAACTATAAAATTTTGTAATTGTCGATCACTTCGCATCAATAAGCAATTTTCGAGCCCGCGATGCACGGAGCGTTTGTGTAAATTTCCCGCCGATATTATTTCAAGTTTCCCGCTCGCAGTGAAGATCACGAACGAAGACAGCATTTCTTCAGGGATGCCTCTTCTGGGAAAGAAATCCTACAAGCCGAGCCCGCTTCCCAAAGATCTAAAGTCAGAAGAAGAAGTATTTGTGATCAAGGAGACGAATGAAGTATTCAGGTCGTACGAGTATCCTTTTGTGTTTCTTGAAAGCGGGCTTTATTCTGTGACGCGCGCTATCGATGCGCTTGCTAGTGGCGGTTGCTGTGTTGTTCATTGTTTCTTTAGGCTTATTATAGACGTAATCAGCGACACTCTACTTAAAGGTTGATTGAATTTTTTCTTCAAGAACGAAATTTATGGGGGTCGTTTTTGCGCGAGGAAAAGTAGAAAGTTGTTTCGTGCGTCCATCGTGGTACGTGGATGTGATGGAAGGCCGGTGAACTTTAGAGCAGGCCTCGCTTCTTAGCGGTTCGGTTCAAAGTGTTTAGATGCTTGATGAGTCTTTTGCTTTTATTAATAGCCGCCGGCTCTGTATATTCGATAAAAGTCAGAAATACTTCACTATCTATATTTTGCCATACAGTATTTTGCTGTGAGATTTTCAGGAGTTTGAATGCGCAAAGGCTTTTGGGATTATTGTCCTAACCACAAATGCAAACTGGATGAAAAAAAAAAAAGAATTTTTTGCAATTCTATTGCATCTGCCAATAATATTGAAGTAATATTTTGAAAGGATAGGTACTTTCTGTAGAAGTCCACTCAATAGGTAAAGAAATACATCAATACACTTCTTTATTGAAGAACTAGTAATTTTTTATTTCTCTTAAGATCAACTCTCTAGCAGTCAGTCTCATCATTAGTCTGGATACCCCCAATATACACAGACAGCATCTAAATCCCAGGAAAATATATCATCGGGGCTGTTGGGGCTGGTTTTTTATTACCTGTGAGGAGGCCAGCCATTTTGCCAGGGGTCATTTTCAAAATCTTGATTGGTTTGGTGGGGGGTGGGGGTCATCTTAATAAATTTTATGAAAGTAGTACAAATCAATAACGAGTGTAAATGGAACAGCTGTTACATTCAATTATTGAATTCAATTATTGAATGTAACAGCTGTAAATGATAAACACTGATCTTATAATCTTCACTGTAGATAAAGTATATGGTGAACTTTGGCCGTGGGGGGGGGGGAGGTACTTTAGGAATTTTTCTGGGTGGGATGTGCTGCTGGGACCCTGCAACTCTTAACCTATACCAGAGCTAGTTCAGCTGAATTTTGTTACCCTATACTAGACTATACTCCCCAAATCCCCCCTATCCTAGAGTAGCTGTTTTCCAGAAACTACTGAGGTCACTAGCACAGTCTAGCCAAAACAAAACCGATAGATAAAATCTTCAACGAACTGATCAGTTTCCTGAAAAGTGATACCCTATTCTAGACCCAAACGCCCTGATTTATATACCCTATCCTAGAGTAAACTACTTGAAAACTATACCCTTCACAGCGGCACATACCTATATAGCCCATAATTATATGGTAGTACCCCGGGACTTCGGCACAATCTGTGGCTAGAATATGTTTAGTTTCCACAGGCGTAAGGTGGGAGGTCACGTAAATCACAATGTGTTAAATTTGTAGGTTGTCATTTCTAAAAAGCTACAATTATGTAGGATGAATTGTTGTGTCGGTTTCATAATGGCTGGCCCCATCATCACAGGTAATGAATGACCAGCCCTTTTATGGAAACTAACTGGTGGTCCAGAACGTGTTCAGAGGTTGAAAGGTGAATGCATTAGCCTAGGGCCTAAGATTTGGGAAAAAGAAAAATAGTGGTTCGCAGTTAGCCTCTAAGTTGACTGAGGATAATAATAATTTTAAAGTCAGTTCAATTTTGAGCTGTATTAAGACAAATTAACCACTGAATATACCCTTTAGTCTGAGCATAAGTTATATTAGCCTTCCTTGCTTAGATTCCAACAGTACTAACTTGTCTCAAAATTTACAACCTGGATTATTTGTTCTTAACACAATAAAGTGAATATGTTAATCGTATAATACTGTATGGATTCCAAGTTTGGAGCTGCCAGATTACTGGCAAAACAAACCTAAAATATGGAGAAGCAGTAGCAAGTGAAGAACAAGCATTGAAAAGGCTGGAAAATTTCCCAAAATATTTGGAAAAACCAGTTCTGCAGATTGTTCACCATAGTAAGTTATTCTGTTAGTCAAGTTTGTGTGTCTAATCAAATGGTAGTTGAAATTTATTCCCTTGCACTTTCACAAGTACACCATTTGATGTGTATTAATATTATGCTCCCAACTGTGGGTTTTTGACATGTAGCTGTGATGATGAATAATTCTTTTAGCCCATAAGATGAAAACCTAGGTAATGAAGCCACTTTGGTCTGCTCTTTTGGTGCTTGTATTTACTGGGTTTCTTCAAACCTAATTGTTTTTATCTGCTTTGTTAAGGTTCAAGCGGACTGCAGACCCTTGCACAACATTGCTACAAACACCTGGAGAAGGAATTTGTTGAATATGAACCAGTAGAATTTTGGGACAATGAAAAGTGGTAAGTATTGTGGCTCAGTAGATAAAGTTTCTACAGTTGACTCTCCCTTAATAAACACATCTACAGATGTAGAAGATGGACACCTTGGTAGAAAGGACGCATAGAGTTGGTCCCTGCCTTTCTTTATTCCCTACATTTTACTCTCTATAAGACGGACATCTAAGGTTCTTAGCCAGTGAGAAGACATTTATGATGTATATTAAGTACAATGTACAATGATAAATATTATTGATTATTATTGATTTTATTGCTAAATCTTTATACAATATTACTTATATTTAGATGACAACATTATTGGGGCAGTGTGAAAAGAAAGTCAGCTTGACAGCTTGCCATTTGGGCAAGCTGTAGCTAGCATGTGCTAGCCCAAGGGTCATTTGAACTAGCCTGAAAAATTTTTTGGAAGAGCAGGATTGATCACAGATCTTCTGTAAGAAATTGAATTCCCCCAGAAAACTTCACTGGCCCATCAGGCAAGTTGAGAACGGAATTCACTGCCCAATAGCAAAATCCACTAGCCTCGGATTATATGACATGACTTTCTTTGCATGCTGTTGGGGGCGCAGAAAACCTATTGAGTTAACTTACTTTTTTGCTTATACACAAGAACTTTACACATTGTTTTTTGCCATTTGTAAACAGGAAACAAGGTAGAATATTTAGAGTTCATGAAAAGAACAACCCTAGCAGTGTCTCTGGAAATGTAAGTAAACATTGCAGCATGTCTCTTAACTCCTCTTCTGCCAACAGTATATTTTGTGAAACACTGGCCAGGAGGATGTGTCCCACTGTGTACTGCCACTTACAAGCACCACTCCCCCCCTCCTGCACTTACACATACAAGCCCTCCCACCTCCCAGTTATTGACTCATGTACCTGCCTCTAGCCAGGGTTCTCAGTAGATTTGTAAGTAGGAGGTGATCACTGATAAGGTAGGAGGCTCTTCAGCAAAGCCAGAGGTGTCAAAACAAAGCAAAGAAAAGCGACTTAAACACAAAAATAAATCCCAAAATTTATTGTGATGAACCCTGCTCTAGCTTGTTGAATCTGATGTGTTGAATCTTCATTTATTAAAAACCAGTACTGTAGGTGAAGACACATTGTTATCAACACTGCTATAGTTTGTTTTGATGTGCTTTTTTAACGCTGGTTAGAAACCCCTTGGATGTAAACCCCATCATCTATAAGTCCTCTTAAAACCCCTAACAGAGTATAGACCATGGCTTGTTAGCAGCAGTTTACAGTATGTAATTGTAACAGGACAGGGTGGTCAGAGAGCAGGAACGAGAAGGATTTGAGGATTTTCCCTTATTTATTTATTTAAAGCTCAAATCCATCAGCAATACAGCAACAGTAAAAATATAATAAGTGGGAATGACCATGGTTTCCATTAAGAATTCTAGTAGCAGGGGAAAGGTGTTGTTGTTACAGGAGAATACTGTAAAATTCCAAAAATAAGCCCCAGGGCTTATATTTTTCAAAGGCCCTTTTTGAGGGGCTTATTTTTGGAGAAGCTTATATTCGGAGGGGCTTATCTATGGAGGGAAATTTGTATTTCAAAATCAATTGGGTTAGCCTTATAGTTGGAAGTAAATTTACCGTTTCTGCTTTGTTATACTTTGTATTTGAGGGCAATTTTCCCAGTACAAGCCCCTGGGGGACTTATATTTGGAGGGGCGATTTAACAGAGAGCTTTTTGCATTACTGGTTTGGAGGGCTTATATTTGGAGGGGCTTATACATGGAGGAGCTTATTTTCGGAATTTTACAGTATTTTGAAAGAGGCTCAATGTCTGAATAAAAAATAAAAAAAATAATCCTCCTCGCACATTAGCCAGAGAATTCTGTGTAACAAACAGAGAATTCTCTGATCTCCGATACCTAATGAACACCCTGAACAACTAAAAGATTATTCCTTGCTAGAAGCAAATTCACTTCGTAACTTCAAGACTGCTGTCCCTTCAGTATGATCTCCAGAACTCAACTCAATTACTGCTAAAACGTGCCTCTGTTTATACGAGAGTATCAAGCAAGGAACAAACAATAATAATTGTTTGCGCGTAACAAAAACAGTAAGAGGTGTTCTGCCAAACCAGTTTAACCACAGTAAATTAGAACAGCAGGATTTCCTTAGGTTAATCCCATTATCTTAAAAAGATAAGGTCAATTAACTGATTTCAGTACATCTACTGAGAAGAAACCACAAAAAGCTAATATCTGCTACCACATTTTGGCATTCATGCATGTTTAGAAGCAAAATGATAAAAAGTATTGTGTTTCTGGATATAATGAAAAACAGTGATTAATCATGGGTTTAGTGACCCTGTCACATAATACCATTATGTACCAGATTAAAGCACACTAACCCTTTGTTAGCTAATGCGAATGTTAGGCATGTTGAATGACTCCAATAGAACTCTCATTATAATAAGTAATAATATTTTCGTTCATGAAATCGTTCTTCCTGAGTTTTGCTGTATCCACAGAAGTGTAGATATTTTAAAGACTATTTTTAAGGTTAGTTGTTGGAAAAGTAAAGTTTTTCATTTTGTTTTTCAATAATTGTCAGTTGTTTTATAATAAATAATTTGCGGAGAAGATAGGGGTTGCAGGTGAGAAGTGTAATGGTACAATGCACAGCTGTTCGTATTGATGCCTCATCAGGAGAATCTTGCAAACGCCATATTCTCCAAGTTTTAATTGCATTAATGTTAGTGAGAGAGATATGTATGATAAACAATGAAATAGAGGTGTACATTTAGTTTTCCAAATTTCTTGTCAGATTTCCAGTACCTCTCTCTCCAGTAGCTCTCCATCTAGTGATAAGGAAAATGCAAAAAGCGAGATGCCAGGATCTTTTGTTAAAAAGGTACAAAGAATTTACTGCCTCATTCTGCATCTAGGAATATCTTTATTAGTATTTTCACTATCTGGAAAGGCCTACGTGTACATACAAACGTGCTGTAACTTTGAATCTGAATCATTATCTTTGAATAAGTACAATAATAGTTATTGTACGTATTAATAATATTTTATTCTATTGCATTTTATTGCCTATACTGTAGTTTATTTTACTCAAGAAAGAATGTTGGTGCCTATATTATGGCTCTTATGACTCACACTGACTACCTAGCAAAAGGGAAATTAAAAAGTTGTCTTGTCTTGTTCTTTTTATATTCTTCTGCAATTTTAGACATTACACAGACTAACTAGACATGACACCATGAGTGATTTTTGTGAATAACAAAAAGCCGTAAATATATTTGTGTGCTGGATGTGGTAAAATTAAGCCCAACAATAAATAACCTTATAGGGATTGCTTTATGTGGACATTAACAGACTGACTAACAGACTGTTGTGAGTTGATATAGTGGCAGTGTTGGGACAGCTCTTTGATCTAGTTTTAAACCAATCCTGATTTGTACTTGTAGAGTTCTGAGGCCCTGTTTGACATTAAGTGTGATGGTACATCTGGTTGTATAGAGGAAGTTAAGTCTTGCAATATTAGGTAAGATATTAAATTTTCAATTAGTAGAATATTGTAAACAATACAATTGAATTAAATACAGTCTGTAAGTTCAAGCATGCAATATATTTTGGAAGAAGAAGTCTAACACCAGAAAGCTTAGAAAATTCTGAGCTCCAGGTGAGAATCAAACTCACAACCCTCCAAGTTCTAGTTTGAATGCTCTCACTGCTGAGCCACTGGAGGCTCTGTGGAAAGCAGGGTTGAAATTTAGTTAAAACTGCACCCTGTCATAGAGGACTGTATCAGGGACTTGCTTGAAATCGGCCATCCACCAATGTACAAGATCAAGAATGTTCAATATAATTTGGAAGAAGGGGAAATCTAACACGAAAAAGCTCTGAAAACAGACTGTGCAGTTTGGGATAAAATTAATCTCTATCAAGTGGATAACGTATATGTAATAATTGTTTCCCTAACACTTTATCCACTGTATAGTGATTCATTCCGTAAATAGCACTATGTAGTATTTCAACAACCAGGGCCAGGAAACAACTGATCAACATTTGGACATTTTGTTTTTATAGACGTTTGAAGAAGCTTCCGTCAGTAGAGATGCTAAAATTGTTTATAAGAGCCAACACTGAAAATGCTTGGAACAGTGATAATAGTCCATGGCAAGTCAAGGTAACAGAAAATTGAATATATATATATATTTTTATCTTTACCCATTACTGTGTAAAGAATAAAGTACATTTTATAGATACATGGCAGGAGATCTGAAACTGATAAAAAACGAAAAACAGTTTAAAACATAAGATCTGAAATCCTTTTCTACTTTCTCTGTAAGTTTCTGACATTGAAGGGTCTATTTTATCATAGGGTTTCCTTCATCTTTTTGAGTCCAGAGAAGAATTAATCAGACAGGAGAAATTTCTTAATAAGTGATTTGCTGTTAACTGTAATTCGTTTTGATTAGAGCAGTAGGCCACGGTGCAATTATTCTTAGGTGGAGGGAAACTCATGGTTAAAGATAATGTTAAAAAGGTACTGTTTTTCTGATACCTTCTAGCCTTCTTGGGTAACTAAGGATTACAAGGATAAGACCGTAGGCTCCTGTCTATCCCACAGATCCCTGTGTTCTTACTCTTGTGGGATGTACATGTAAGAGTAGACAATGTAGACTTCATGTTGCAGTGCATGAGTCACTCGTGAATTTGATTGGAGTGTGGTAGGAATTTGACAGTTTTTTAATTTTGTTTTGTTGCTTCACTCTTACAGAATAAGGCCAAAAAATCCAAAAAATAATATATAAAAAACCAAACTGAAATCACCACTGATTTCTTGGGTCAACCCTTTTGCAAGTAGATTTATAAATAGAATGGCTCTTTTCCCCAGGAAAGTGTTGTATCTCGGCAAGCCTCTTATTTCACTATGAAAAAATAAAGGTGGATGAAGGCAAAATCTACAGTAACCTGTCCTTCAACCATTGTTCTTTTTATTAGATGTCTTTTTTTCAATTTTTAAGTCACTGGGATCTGGGTATCTAAGGTTAATGAATTACCAGACTGAGTATGAAGCGATGTGATACAACATGAGAGGAGCAAACTGAAGATCACTGAAAGTTGTCTTTGTGAGTGGTTTTGAGTTTTGCCTCCTACATTCTCCATGTAATCACTTTGAAAAGTTTTGATGATGAAACATTCTGAGGATGAATTGACCCTTTTTGATGGTCAGCGCAGAAAAAGTGCCAGAATCATTGGATTTTGGTCATCTTTGTGGAGTTGATTTTGCCAGCTCATGTAACAGATCAGCTTCATGGCCTTGTGATATGAGCCAAGCAGCCAAAATTATGATTTACACAGTCTCCACAGCATAATCTATCCGCTAGAAAGAAAAAATAGAAAATGTTCCAGAGCAAAACGCTAAGGTCATGTCTCATGAGCTTATGATTGGGTTTGGCCTGTTAACACTGTATTTCCTGCACATTAATGTAGATCAATAGCATTGAAATTACTTCGTTGTGATTGGTTCTTTTCACTGTCAATGTGCGAAGCCTCTTCTTGGAGCCATTCTAATAATATTATAAATCTACTCAGGAAAGGGTTGACTCCAAGGGTTTGTATGGGAGATATACCTGCTTCTACTAATGGGCTCCTGCTTCTACCAATACACTTCCGGAATTTCAACAACAGGTTTTTTTCCTGTAGTCTTAGTGAGGGGCTTGTGCTTACCTTATTAAACTTTTTTTTACAAAAAAATGTAAGCCCTTGGAATTTTTTATATCTTTCAATTCTTCAGACTGAATTGGTAAAGAAATATTCCCTAGTTGACAAATTACAAGATTTTTCCTTGGCTGTCAATGTAAAGGTAAGTTATGTGGCAATCCAAAATGCCAAAAAGCTCAAAAGTCCTTACCCAAATTTAACTATTTAGGCACAATGGAATAATCACATGTGATGAGTTACTATATGGTAATGTTGGAAGACTACAGTCGACTCTCTCTTAATGGACACCTCTATAAGACGGACACCTCTGTAAAACGGACACTTAGAGTTGGTCGCTGCCTTTCTTTACTCCCTTTATTTGACTCTCCATAAGACGGACACCTCTCTAAGACGGACACTTAGTGATGGTCCCAAAGGTGTCCGTCTTAGAGAGAGTTGACTGTATTAATACTTTTTGTGAATTTTTTTTATTCCTTGAGGTCAGATTTGTACCCCTTCTCATCTCTTATCTAACCTGTTAAACCTGTTTACTACATTACTGCACAATATGCTCAAATATTTTGTACATAAGTATAATTCTTGCCCTCTACTTATTTATTTGTTAAACAATGAGGTCGCAAATAGCAAATATATTTTATAATTATTCTTAATGTTTTCTTTGTTAGAAAATGACCCCTATGTCTAAGAATTCAATAGAAGGTGGTAAAAATGCCGAGAAAAAAAAGAAGAGAGTTTTGGATGAGAGCACTAGACATGGTAAATCTAAAATAAGCAAGTCAGATCCTTCACAGAGAAAACTAGATTCCTTTAGAACCAGCACAGACAACACTTCCAAGCACACGGCAAAAATCACTGGAACTCCTCGTAAACAAGTTGAACTTATTAAAGTTGGCTCTAGTGGAAAGAAAGATGATGGAATGACACCTTCTGGGGAACTCCGTGGAACTCCTGTGAAATGTCGACTGGTGTTAACTCCTGTGAAGTCTCCTTACAGTGGAACTAGTAAGAGCCCAGCAAATAAGAAGATGAACCTTAAGGCGTACTGCCAAACAAAAGTAGATTTGGTTACAGTTGAAGACAACGCTGATGACATTGCAATTATAGGATCTAAAAGTCCTAAAACAATATCTAAATCTTGTAAAAAGCTAACAAAGCCTCCCAAGAGTGGAAGTGCAAAGAAGGCTCTGAAAGGTATAGAGGAACCAAAAGAAAAGTTGGTGAAAGATGGAAAATCGTCTAGGAAGCTTGACTTGAAGGGAAATGAGCAGATCATTAGCATAACAGAATCAGAAATAGAAACAAGAGAACCAAATTCAAAGGAAGTGTTAAAGAAGTCTGTGCTATTGGATCTTGCAGGTGATTCGAGGGACGAGTTTGAACCTTCTCCCAAAAAGGTAATTTTAACAGTTTTCTAGAATAACAAGGTTTGTGTAACTGTTTCCTGGTTAGCCCAGGTGGTTGAACTCCAGTGTGCAGATCTGAAGTTTGCAAGTTTGAGTTCTGATTGACCCCAATCGTGAGGTTCGCTTGCTCAAATGGCCAGTTACAATCAATAATTTTGCTCTCGGCTCATAGCCGATGGTTTTACCTTTTTTTTGGGCAGCTTGAGTCTAGCGGGAAGACCCTGACTTTCAGGGTCTCGGCTTATAGGTGAAGAAATACGGTAAGTTGACAATTTATGCACTGGTAATCCCATCCATAACCTCACATTGCATTTTGAAATGCATACTTTAAACAAATAATTAATATTGTGGCTTCTGCTCTGATTCCTTAATTCAAGTGAACCTTGATGATTACTCCTCAGCTTCATTTACACTAGTTTGGCCTCAAAAATGTTTATTTCCAGCTGCAATAAATGGTTGCTTCTTCCTTTCTTTAGCTTCAAGTTAGAGTCTCACCTGTCAAGGCAAAGCAGTCTGCTGGGAAATTAAAACAAACCACATTATTTGACCAGACTAAGAAATCAGAAGATGAAAAGGCTGTCATGACATCACTCAAGATTAAGGCAAAGAAACAGAAAACCTTGGCTGAAATGTAAGTTTGTTGTCTATTGTCATGATCTTTTTGTTGTTGCTTACAGTGTTGTGGCTTTGTGTATATGAAGCTTATGAAAACTCTATTTTTAGGTTTAGTGCTGCCATACAGAATGACAAACACAGGACACTGTCTAACCTCATCAAGAAAACAGCTCAAGAAGTGTCTTCTCCTAGCAGCCTTAATCTCAATCTTGCTACCCCACAACAGGATTTTTTGAAAAAGAAATGGAATGAACACAAAGAAAGACTAGAAGGGTGAGATAATCACTTTAATTGTTATGATAATAATAATAACTTAATTATCTTCGCCCCTCATGGGGCTTTTCAGGAATAATGAACCAATAATTCAGTTGGAATATAATATGGATAAGAATCTCAGCTGGTAGTAGGAGGTGAACCAGTTGGCTATTTACAAGCCTGGTCAAGGATTTTAATTCAGGGCTACCATGAGCAAATCCAGTCAGTGGTCAGGGCAGAACCTGGAATTTGCCACCTCCAGATTACATGTCCAGCACTTTAACTCCTTGGCCTCCAGATTTTTTTACCCTCAAGTCCGGGTGGGGGGGGGGATGATACCTTTCAGAGGGCTCGTAAGTTTAAAATGACTGCTGTTGACGTTAGAGCCCTCTAGAGTGAGTAGTGTAGGAGCTGCTTGTAAGGTCTCTCCTAATTGGTTGCAGGAAACAGTGACATGTCATTCTTCCCATTGTTTTAGTATTGTTTGGGGTCAGGAAACACACCATTGGTGGCTTGTCTTCCGAGCAGCTGCTACGTGACCCCTCTAAAGTATTGAGCAGAAAATTGAAGGAAATTGTTTGTTCCTTAATGAATTGTATTTATCGCCACTTAAAACTGTCAGTGGCATCAAGTCTGTCGTTTTTGGAATACTGATTTCTATGTTGCTCTATGTTGTCGTCAATGGGAACTCCTTGAGTCAGGATACTCATGACACATCTCTGTTATCTTATTTGAAATCTTGACTGTTTGGAATTTTTTCAATGCTAAAATGTTCATTTTTTTGTACTTTTTTTTCTATTGTTAGGCAGCTCTTTAAGAAGATGCAACATAGTGTCAGGAGCAACATGGTCAGACTATTTTTTATCATTTGATTTTGCTTAGTTAAAAATTATTTATCCTTTAGGCTATTGTGATTATTGAGTTTTTGTTCCTGATTTTTGCTTAGATTTTTGCAATGACATGATGCTCTCTTGCAGAAACAAGAAGATAATGAGCTGGTCAACTTAAAGCCTCTTCCTACTGCCAAACCAGTAAATTTACCAGATGGAATCACAGCTGAATTATACGGCGATATTGCAATGTTGACTGAGTTTGTTTACACCTTTCAAGATCTTCTCCTACCCAAGGAAAAATTGTACATCTCAACAGGTACAAATTGTTTTCATCTTTTCTTTTTTGTAGTCGTTTGTTTAGTCAAAATAATCGTACTGTTTTTTCTTTTGTAGATTACCTGTCAGAGGCTTTGGTGGGTGGTAGGCAAGGCTTTTCCCTGTTGTCACAGATCTTGGTCATCTTTTTGCAGATTCTTCTACAGGAGAGATCTACAAAGGTTAGTTATATACAGAGGTGTCATTAAGCGCCGTAACCCGTAACTTCTGTTACGGCTGAACTCACTGATGTTACAGGTGACCAAAGTGGAAAGCTAAAGGAGGCACTATAAATTTTTGTGAGATGTTACGGGTGAATCTCCTTTTGCTACTGCTGCTGAAAAACTTAATGACAGCCCTGATATATTCATTCATGAAGAAATGCAAAGTGAAAAAAAAATTGTGTGCAGGGTGATGGGAGGGTTTGTACATACACTCCTATCAACGCCCTTTTTTTTTCTTGGAAGAAACCTACCCTTTGGTTTTATATTCGTTTTGTTTCCTATAAAAGTAGCCGAAGTTTGTGCCCAAAGCAGGGCTCAAAAAAAAACTTGGGCAAGCTGCTCCACTCTCTCATTTCGCTTGCTCAGGGAAAAATGTTAATCATTTTGTTAGAAGATAACTTACCTGGACCATTTCCCATCGGGCAAGTGATCTTTAAACGTTACTTGCCCAGCAAGAAAATCTACTAGTCCAGGACTTCCTGACGAGACTTTTTTCAAGCCCTGTGAAGTCCCCCGCCCTTAATGACAGCCCTGCATATACTTAATATTAATTTGTAGTAATGGTGCTATTTTTTAGGGAAAAGAGATGGATGTGCAGCTCTCAGAAATGCCAGTGACGCAGTACTCGGCTTCTGAAGTATCCCGCCTTTATCTTAACTCGAAGCTCCAAATATTAACAGCTTACTCAGAAGACAGACAACTCCAGCAAATCTTAGAAACATTAGAACATGAAGAATTGTACGACCTCACCCCTGAAGAAAAGCTAAAGGTATTGTGTATTGACTTACTAAAGGTGGCTACCTATGGCTCAGCTTAATAGCCTGTTCTATGTTTTTTTAAATTAAAAACTTGCCAGTGTGAAGTGGTATGTCTCAAATGAGAAAGATATAACTGCGCAAAGTTGCAAAATTTTACAGAGATTTGTATGGTGGGGCACGAACTTGCATTGTGATGTTTACATCCATTTTAAGATAATATTGAATAATAATAATAATAATAATAATAATAATAATAAAAGCATTATACATTCTGCGTGATGAATCAGCCTACAGCAAGAGCCATAATAGGTCCTATTATGGCTCTTGGCCTACAACTGATGTTAACTCATGTGCAGCATAATCGAAAAAACGAAAATCTATACATAATATAACTAAACACTTACAAGCAACACTAATAAAAAAGAGTATTATTTAGCTCCTTTAGAAACAAAATTTATGAGCACTGTGTAAGCTGATGCATTGTTGTATGCAGATCCTGGTAACCCTGTGTCATGAGGTATTGGCATCTGATGCTTTGGATGACTACATGGAAAGTCTTTTTGCTCAAGCAACGCAAATAAGGTACTTAAATAGTGACTTTTAGTGTTATTATGCTGTGTTTTAATATACATTGATGATAAACGGAGTGAGCAGATTAATGTTGGAGTTACGAGGGTGAAAATATTAGTGTTTAGAGTCATGAGATTACCAGGGGGTGCAGTTACCATTTACACAAACCACCCGGATGGAAATCTTGTGCATAAACATAACAATATAAAATATGACATGGTGGGGAAATAAAGCCGGCAAAAAATATATCCAAATCAACTGAACAGGTGAGGGAAAAGAGTGGGAAAATTGCATCACCTCAAACCACAGCCCATATTTTCTGAAGCTTCCCAAACGGAATGGCCCGAACCAGTTGATTTTCCAACCGGTTTTTCCGGTTTTCCCGTGTTAAAGGGAACCTCCACTCTTACTACAGAACAAGTTTAAATCGAATAAAATTATGTTGATAAACAAATTTGTTCGAAATTTGTCTTAAAAAAAGTGTTTATATCAGGAAAAGTGAATTTTAAAATCGCTTATTTTCACTTTCAAATTTCGCGGGCGCCGCCATCTTGAATAATTGTGACGTGTTACGGTTGCTCTATTGTTCTGACACAAAGAGCTTTTGTTTAATAACAATAGGGCAACCTTTACACGTCACAATTATTCAAGATGGCGACGCCCGCAAAATTTGAAAACAAAAATAGGCGAATCTAAAAGTTATTTCTTTCGGATACAAACGCTTTCTTTAAAAATATTTTAGATTGACTTGACTGTAACAGTTATTTCCTGTGATTTAAAGTTATCTTTTTGTTGAAGTGGAGGTTCCCTTTAATGGTAGCTAGCCCACACCCAAGTCCGTGTCATTCCTGTTACAGGAAGCAAAGGATGGCAAAGCAAAAAGAGAGAAATGATAAACTGAGAGAGGAAAAAGAGAAACTAAAAAAAGAAAAAGAAGAGTTACAAAAACAGAAGGAGGAAGATGAAAGCAAGAAGGTCAGTACGTTGGTATTACATGTATCATCTCAAAACGGCTGACATTCCCTGTTCAGCATGTGTTCATCTGAGCCTCCTTTTGTCCTCTTTACTGAGGAGGAGAAAAAAAGACCCTGCCTGAATCGCTTCAAGCCTTTGAGGTCACCACAGCCCGAACCTCTGGACTAGTGAATCTTGTTTTCTCTCGTCAAACAGGTTTTTTTTAAGTGCGCGCATCTGTTTGTGGATAAACCGATGGTCATAAACGAGCCAACTGTAGCAAGCGCACGGTTATTAGGCCTGGGTCAAAAACTTTATCTTAGCGCTGGTTGGGTGCTGCGTAACTAACGGCGTGTGGTGTTAAAGTTTGCTGAATGAGAAGTGCAAAGATTCAACATTTTTAAGCCTTATGTCTGTTTTTGTTCCGATTAAGTTGCATCTTGTTTAACGGAAAGAATCTATCTCTATTCTCGTTCAACAGCGTCTAACATGTCGAACGGCCACTTGTAACAGTTCAGCAAGGCATTTGATCATTATGCGCTCTTCACCATTTGTAATTGTTAAACGAGGGCTGCAGCATTTATTGTTTAGGAAATTTGTGAACCACCTGCTTCTGTCTGCTGCATGTGTCTGTAGCTTGCTGCTGAGCACTTACATGTAACATGTGAAGTGACCATGCTGTTTTAAGTTTTTGAAAAATGTAATATTCATTTTTTGCCATTATCTCAGTGCATGGATGGTGTTAAACTCTGAATTTTGTTTTTCTCTTCAGCAACTGAAGCTGGATGAACTAAACAAAAAAGGTAAATTCTCTTTTACTGGCAATCAGTGATTTGCTACAAAGAAGATCATCATAGTTAAATACGCAACTTATGCAGTTGCGAGAAGAAAGCCTGAAAAACTCAGCCTTGCCGGGATTCGAACCCTGACTTATGTATTACCGGTGCAGCGCTTTACCAATTGAGCTAGCAAGCCAACTGGGAGATGGTCATTAAATTGGTTTATAACATACCCGGGAAAGATAAAAGTTAAATTGTGATTTTATTTTATTTTATTTTTACTTGCCACACAATAATTACGAAAAATAAAGGAAAAGAGAGAAAAGAAGAAGTGGCAAGGAGACCTAACAGAAACTATAGGAGCTTATGAGAGGTTAGGCCTCCTCGAACGACGGGTTAGAGCTGTGTAACATCAGTTAAAGAAAAGATGGCGAAAAGTCGAAAATAGAAATATTTATGAACTGTTGTCATATTTACTATTTTATGAATTATATATATTTCTTCGTCCCGCAGTTCATATATATGAAATTCATTTCTTCATCATTTCAATGATATTTTTTAACAGTTGCTAATGAACTGTTTGGTTTTTCGTTTCTTTAATCGTAGAAGATGAAACAGAATCTTTATGTACAACCTCTGAGGCTATCAACAGTAACCCAGCAACTAAAGACAAGACTGACAAGCCAAAAGCAACGAAGGATAGTCAAGAAATGTCTGAAGTTGTTAAAGTGTTGAGGCAACGGAGAGAGGACATGGCAAACAAAATCGAAAGAAAGCAACAAGAAGAAAATGAGAGGTAACAGGGTTATTTCAGTTGTTTTTGGACTATTAAGACATCTCTTTGTTGTTCATTACTAGAATGTACACATTCTGTTAACGAAGGCTTCTTCCCGGCATAGTTTTTAGCATTTACGATGTCTTTCGTGTCAATTACATTAGTGTTAACAACCCAACTACGTGAGACGACGCAAACCACTTCATAAATGCTGAAAACCATGCCGGATAGAAACCTCTGCTAGCAGGGTAAATATGCGCTATAGTTAACATATAATTTGGTTGCATTGAGTTACTGAATCTTCAGACTTATTTAACAAACTTGAAAAATGATTTTTCCAGAACAGTAACATTCATTACAGACAACTGTTATTGAGAAGAAATTAAAGAGAAGAAATTTTAGTGCCGATATACAGACATTCACCATTTTTTGACAGCCGTAACGGCACTTCAATAACAAGGCAGTATTTTTTTTAGTCTCGAATTTACTTCAATGATAACCTTTGTCAACACTCGTTCATTTTGTGTAAATGAAGAAGGGTTCATTGATAACGTTTGTACAGAAATTCCTAAAGATATGTTGAACAGATTGTGGAGATAATGAAAAGTAGTAAAATTGATTCTATTACTCTACCCTCCTTTTTTTCGGTTATTGACCAGCGTTGCGGTCATAATGCAGTGATTGTTTCACAACATTTGTATGTCATTCGAGGTGACTCTGACTATAAAGTAGACTTTGGTACTTACATGTCATATAGAAATGTTATTTTTTTCTATAACCACAACCCTACAACTACTGCATGTGCCCTAAATCGAAAGCTCAATTGGAAAGCTAAAAGAAAAGGAATCTGCACTTTTTTCTTAGTAATTTTTTACATTGTTTAAGTGGTTGAATTCGGTAGTGTAACGCTAAGTGGGTCCTTGTACTCACAAGCTAACTTTTCCATCTCTTTCAGACTTGAAAAAGAAAAAGAGGACCAGTGGGATGTGAGTGATCATAATTTAATTTATCCGAGTATTGTACTGTCTTGCCAATCCCCTTGGACTTTACTAGGGCTCCTTGGAAGGTTATCCTGATGATCTAATAGACGTCTGGGGCGTCTATTTAAGTTAGATTATAATTAGCAGACTACCCAGTTCATCCATTGATACTTCGTAGCCGTTTAGAGATCCAAAATAAACGCCTCTCTCCTTTAAACGCCTCCAATCTATTAAACTCCACCTCAAGGACCCCTAAAATCAAATAAACGCCCCGGGCGTCTATCAGATCATTTACAGAGTTTGCATTAAATTATTACAGATACGTTCATGTCAGAGTTGTCACTAAGATTTCAAATTCAAGTTGCCGGGTGAATGAATGAAGGAATGAATGAATGAATGAAGAGTCGTGGATGAGAGGACTACAGACGTGCCCTCTTACGATATATTTTAAAATGTGAACAGTAAGTTCGGACGTCAGCACACAAAGGCGCCACCGGCAGCCGCTCTCAATCCATTTATGAGCTTACTGTACCCACCAAACCCATGATGTGAATGACGTAGGTGGGAATCAAACAGCTAGAGGTTTCTTTTGGTTCTATTTTTCTTCTCTTTTCCTTTGAAGGTAGCCGGGGATCACGTTCACAGTAGCCGGGGGAAATCTCCGGCCCCCACCACTTAATGACAGTCTTGCATGTCGTGTGTGAGAGTTTTTTAATTGTTCCATAATTTTGCAGATTCACCTGGCTCAATGCCAATACACTTTGAGACTAAAACCCATTGGATATGACCGTAATAACTCACGTTACTGGGTTTTCAACGGTCCAGCATCGGGTGTTTATATAGAGCAAGGTTGGAAGACTATGGAACAACAGCCTTCTCGTGTCGCTCACAAAGACAGTGTGGTGAAAGCATCCGGAAATCATGGAGAAACTGAAGACAATGATGACGTAGCAATAGTTGAAATGGAAGAAGATGAATCCAAGAGGACAGAAAATGAAAGCAAAGGTCAAGAATTAAGGTAGGGAGAGGTCATATTAGAGACCTTTAGATCCAAAATGACGCTCATTCAAGCGCGCGCACTATTTAGTGTTGAGATAATCTGGTACTGGTAGTTATCCTCTTCTTAGAATCTAAAGGTCTCTGTTGTCATGATTTAGCATTCCCTCTCGGGTTTCCAAGTCAGTTGTACCGTGTAACAAAACCCAGCTCAAGTCTTCCTAGGAACAGTGCCCCGATCAGAGGTAAATCAGAGAAATACAAAAATGTTTCAAGGTCGGGAAAAGTCAGGGAATTTTTTTAAAAGTCGAGGCAAATCTTTGATATTGTCCGAAGTCATTGACAACTTTGGTAATTATATTTTCGTTGCACACCAACTGCCGTGAAAAGCGTAAAGAGTTTGAAAATGAAGACAGGAATATTCATGGTGTACAAAAAAGCCGAAGCGAATGTAAACGAGGATTGTTTTTTATTGCTAGTCACTGAATGAAAGTAAGGAGTAAATTGTTTAGAGCTCAGTGAAAATTCAGGGCAAGTCAGTGCCGAAATGTTTTAGTTTCTGATGAACGGCAGCTCTGAGGAAGGCTTTTAAGCACCCAATTGCTAAAGGTTTCTGTTCGGTAGTTATGACGGCGCGAAGTGAAATTTTGCCTTGACAATGTTCTTTACAATTGAACCTCCTGGTACAGGACTACAGGATAGCTAGACTAGAATCAAGCAGATAACGGATGATAGCATATTTGTCTTTTTCGACAGCTATCCTGATATTCCTTACAGCTGGTCATGTTATGATACCGTGGAAGATGTTCAAGCATTGCTAGAAAGTTTAGCAACTCAGGGCATAAGAGAGAGTGCTCTAAAGAAGTCACTCTGTGAAAAAATGACATGCATTACTGATGGCATTAAAAGGTTTGTAAAACTCATAGTTTGAAACCCGTCAGATGCGATAGAACTAACATACTTGAAATCATTCATGACACACGGCACTAAAAAAATTTCAGCTGCGACATTTGTGTATAAGGCTGTGTTGGGCTTTGTAGTGGCTTTGCTTCAAGATAATTATTTCTCTGGGTTTGCGGGAATATTATCTTTCCTCAAGAAACTTGGGTTGTGTGACAATCCGTAGCTTGAGAGTGGTAAGTTAGAAAGTGTTGTTTCACCTTCGTTAAAGTAACTTAAGTAATCAGAGACAATCTATTTTCTTACTATCCTTACTTATTACTTTTGTTTTATATTTTCGAGCAGAGAAACCAACCGTGGTAAACGTCCTACAAAATCAGAAACAGGCGAAGAAGATATTTTCAGCTCCATTAAAGAGGTTTGAAACAGAAATGTGTTTGTCGCGTCTGGTGTTTGCCTTTGTCTTTGCATAGTTATCGCAACCGTTTTTTTTTTTGTTATTAGCAATTAAGAACTACCAAAAATGTACTCTTTTTTACTAACAATTCCAAAGGTTTTGTAGTTTTAATTAAAACATTCCCACTCTTTCTGCTAATATTTTTCGGTCATATGCAGTCGTGGACATTAATATGCCTTGACAGAGATGTATGATCGTGATTTGTTCGCCTTGTTCTAATTATAAATTTTTTAGTGTAATTACATTACATGCTTTGATTGGTTCTATGGCCATTTTAGATCACCTTATTACATAAAAGCAAAGGGTCTGAGGCTTTATGCTACTCTCATTTTCCCTACAATGCTGTTCTTGAAATTTTCAAGCATGACTTAAGTGTTGGCGTATTTTAATAGTACTCGCGATACACCTCTTGTATACGATTGAGATATCTCGCGGGTGTACTCCCTTATATGGTTATTTCTGATCAAAAAAGAAAATAAATTATCGCAAATAACATACGATGATATAAAATATATGATACAAGACAGCGCACATTTTGTCCTTTGTCCTAAACAGTGTCATAAAATTAAGGTTGTCGTCCTAAACAGGGTACATATTTTAGGATTTTTTTTGTCCTAAACAGGGTAAGGGGTTTTAAACCCTCAGCAGCTCACCTATACCCAAATATCAGTGAAATATTGGTCAAGTACCCCAAGGAGATATCTCTGCAATTTCTTCAAAGTCTCTCCATACCTCGTAATATCATTAAATAATCTTCACTCTAATCTTAACCACCCTCACGTCCTTTCTGTTCATTTATGTCAAGTCTTGTGAGGTTACCGTTTTACTGAAGCGCGTTTTCTCTTAACAGGAGTTGGTGAGCATTGCTGAGAGCCTCGTGAATGGCAACTTGGCCATCCTTGATTACACTGGCCTGGAAAAATATAAACAAGCCGTACATCAAGCGTCATGTGTGAGAGATTTGGTAAGTATGGCTTGCTTTGAAACTTAATTTAATCCAGTAAGTTGGCAATGAAACGAAGGTAGCCCTTAGTCAAAGCCAGCGATTTCCCTCATTTCTTTACAGTCGCCTGTTAAAAACGAAGGGCTCGAAAAACGTACCGTCCGGTAGCCTTGGACAAGTGCTTTAAAAGCTTACTTGCCCAATGGGTGTCGGTGAGGGTACAGCCAGGTCATCCCGCTATAAAAAAAAACCATTAGGAAGCTTAAGCAACGAAGAACGGCAAAAACGAGGAATTGGCAAAAAAAACCCAAGCTTTTTTTGTAGGTTTGAAGACGTTTTTCGGGGATAGGAACACAAAACAACAACTTTTTGCAGGCGCAAAAAGGGAGGGGAGGGGAGGGAGAAAGGGAAAAGGGAACATCTAAGAGCCTATGTTTTTTTTTGTACAGTCCGATTACGCTTACTGTCAATCAAGTGTTATCGCCATTGCGAAAAACATCACACTCACGCATGTTATTCAGAGCTAGAAGGCACTTTGGAGAAAATTGGAAATATTCAGCCGTAATAAAAAAAGCTTTTCAAAAGAGGTCAAAGAAATTGGGATCAGAGGGCAAATCCTGCCGACCAGAAAACAATAAAAGTCAATCGATTTTTTGACCTTTTGAGACCTGCTAAAATAACATTTGCTCAGTATAAATGCAGAATACAATCCCAGATAAAAACAATTTTATTGGAATTAGAATTTTGGCATGAGGTAAAACCACCCTCTTTTATTGCAAAGAAATTCATCGTTCGATAAATTTAAACGAATTAAACGAGATTCCATGCAAATGGTCTTCGATAAACTTTTTGAGGCGAAATGACGAGAATCGAATTTACTTTTTAGCTCGTAGTTTTCTCGCGTACAAACGTCTTTGGTTAAATTAAACTCTTGCCGTATCCGGAAGCAAAACCGCCAGAACATTTCTGTCGGCTAAAAAGCCGTTCGCTGATTTTTGCTCTGGTTTTAAAACAGTTTCTCTACCACTAGATAAATTCTCATCTCTCAAAGCGCTCTCTACGACATCCACGTCTACCGCTGCCATCTCGACTGTTTGTTGATTTGTGAAACGCGCATTTCAATATGTTACTCATTACGGCTCAGAAAGACAAACTAGATATTCAAAAGGGGTTCTTGTTGTTTTTTTTTTTTCCGAGCCCAAAGAAATTTGCGAACATTTGACGAATTAAACGAGATGGAATAATTTTGAAAAGTTTGAGGCAGCGCGAATTCAGTCAGCCGTAACGTCGTTTAATTCTGAGACGGAAGTGCGACGTGCTTGCTCGAAAGACAAACTAGAAAAAGCCCTGAAGGCGAACTCCTAAAAGAATTTTGAAAAGCTGAAGTCAATGACCGTTAATTCTAACGGTACTTGGTAGAAAAACTGTGGGCAAATTGAGAGTTTGGGGTTTTGTGAGTAGTGCAATCACCATACCCTGAAACGCGGTACGGTACAACCAGAAAAGACTGTACGAAAAACTACGTCAACACAAGAAGCTAGACGAACAATGATAGCTTTACTGACAGTAAAGTTTGGATAAGTATAGTGTCAACGTACGTAGAATTGTTATCAACCATCCATGTGCAATCCTTTTCATCTTTCTCTTTGTGTTGTGTTTAGGCGTCCCAACTTGAGAAGTTGTTGACATTTGTGTTGCCACAGTTCTATCAAGGAATTTTCTCTAAAGACAAAGCCAACTCCGAACAAGCTAAACAAAAATGGCTGGAGGAAGTGAAAAAGGCAACAACTGTATCTCGTCTTCACCTGCTCCATGAACTTTTAGATTCAACCGTGATCTGGGATATGTCAGCGGAAAATATCGTAAGTATTACGGAAAGTATCATTTAGTGTAAAAGTAACTATCGGTTAATTGTCGAAAGCTTTGAGTTTACCCAGTGCAAAGTTTCACATGGTTGAACCGATTTTATTTCTTTTGTTATATATTTCTATTTATTTTTGTCTCCCTCTCCTTCCGCACCGTATGAGTGAATAGGGAGTTTAAGATACCACGATGGCGACGGCCACGAAAACGTCACTTAAAAAGTGAATTGCGAACTCTTTTTGAGCCAAATTTCTAAGAACCATATTCAAGGTCAGAAAGAGAAGGAAAATTAGCCGTCGCTGGTTTACGTCTTCCATAAAACGTGAAATTAGGCATTTTCCCGTCGTAGTCGAGCAGGGACGGCAAAAAAATGTACAAAAAAGCACGATGCACCTGCAGAGTTCAGTGTTTTTTTCCTTATTCAACCTATTACGTTTTTGACGTTCCCGTTGTCGTCGCCGTCGTGGCGTCCCTAATTTACCAATCGCCACTTTAGAAACGAGAGGAAACCTGTGCGAGTTGTTTTTCGCAGGGTCTTTTGGGACTGTTACTAAGTACATGGAAAAGAAAATCGTCCAATAGCTGACCGGCGCGTCGCCAGGAACGATCCCAATAACAACTGCGGGATACATTTCAGCTTCAGTTCCCTCCTTGTTTTTAAAGTGGCGAATTTGATTTACCTTATGAATTTTTATAGTTAAACTTGCTGTTTCTTTTTCTGTTTTCTGTCTCCAGAGATGTAAAGTTTGCCGCTCCAAAGCAGTTGGTAAAACTTTGATCTTGTGTGACGAGTGTAATTTAGGTTATCATCTTCAGTGCCTGCGGCCAGCGTTATCTGAAGTGCCTGAGGGTCATTGGAGTTGCCCTTTTTGCAAGGTAGCAAGCTTAAGCTTAGTCCGCAGGTTTCGATCGTTCTGAGCTTTCCGCCCAGCGCACTAAGAGATAACGAGTATCGGCAATAGCCAAAGCGATCCACCATCTCTCCTCCTAGAGTATCTGTCCTAACATTGGTGGTGTTTCAGCAACCACGTAGACGACTAGCTGCGATGAAAATAGCACACCAAAAGTAGTTTTTCTAAGCAATGTTAGAGATGTTCAGTTTATGTAAAAGAATATGTTATTCTCTCTTATGAAAGATTTAGCGCTGAAAACATATCAGCTTTTGAATGTTTGTTTCGGTACTTCCCCACCGAAGTAGCACTGTAAGGTGGTCAGATTCTTCTACTTGTCTGTGACGAAACTTTTAATATTTAGTAGTGATTTTATCTCTTTAGTGTTCAAGTCATGCTTCTATCAGTCTCTTTCTGTTTCATGTAAATCGGCCGGGCATATTCTTTCTTTAAACTTCGAAAACCTTAACTAACGTACCTTTTTTCATGTTATGAGCAGCCGACTGTGAGGCAAAGTAGCCGATCTGATGCCAAGAACTATAAAGAAGAAAGTGGCAGTGAAGTAGAAGATGATGATGATGAGGTATTTGATTATTATGAATTCGTTTTTTCGATAAACACACAACAACAAGTTTATTTGAATATGCAAAACAAAAGTACAGTAAATGATTTTACTCAGATAGCTTCCATTCTAACGGTCAATTGATTATTCTGTTTGTTTTCCTGTCTGTTTCCCGTCAGTATCATGTCACTGTTATCCAAAAGTGAACTTACTAGGAAACAGACACTGTAAAGCTACATCAACAAAGCGGCACTAAGAATCATGCGGTTACTGTTAGTGGTGCAAATTAAGGGTCGTATCACAAGCTGATTCGGACACTCGCAGTGAAAAATAATAATGAAAAAATTGACAGTGCAAGTTTGTTCAAATTTGTTATTTTTTCAAGATAGCTAGTTCAATTAGCTTTAATTTGATATAGGTATTCAGGTATCTGCAGTTTAACCCGCGGAACGCGCTACCTCATTTGTACGTGAGACACCCCTGAAGGTAACCGGTAACCGTAACTGAAGCTTGTTTTGTTGTTGGTTTGCCAGGTCAGTGATGCGAGTTTGGAAGAAAATGAAGATTATTGTCACACTTGCGGAGAAGACGGCGAACTAGTTTGCTGTGACACCTGTCCCTTAGTTTTTCACAAAGACTGTCACCAGCCCCCTCTCAGAAAAATACCACGGTAAGCACGTGTTTATCACGCCTGTATCACATTTGATGTCAATCATTCACCTCTGTCACGAATGTTTTCGCATCTGGGACTCCACGGTTGAGGCTCATTAGAAGTGAACGTTTTCACGTAACTACTAGAACGATGATGAGAATGAGTAGGTTCATTGGTTCATGTGACAAACATCCTGAACACTGCTCGGGAAACGTCAGATTGAAATCAGATAGCGTTCATACCATCCATCGACTTTCCAGTCCTAGCATGTTCACACCTCTTCTAAAGTGGTGAACTCTGACCAACCGAGCGCAGCACCATGGTTTCTACTAACCCTCTCATATATGTGTACTTCTGCTATAGAGGAGCTTGGAGCTGTTGGCAGTGTCGCCAGCCGAAGAACAAGAAACAGAAGAATAATAAAAAAGGTATCCAATCTGATTTTTATTAAATGATGTTGCTTAAGTTCATAAGACATTGTTTGTTTAACTGACTGAATTTCTGATAAAGTGAGTTTTAGGTAGGTTTGACTGATTGTACTCTGTACTCTGTACAGAAAGATTGTTATACTGAAATATTTTCCACGGCTTTGATTTGAAAGCCACCACAATGCGACATTGTATATGAATATTGTTTGCCAGCCATTATTCAGGGGCACCCAACGAGGATATAGTTCAAAACCACTTAACATAGCATTGTTGAACGTATTTTAGTATTTAAACGGTAGATATAGGCATATTTTTATCCTCTTAAAACTTATCAACTGTTCGGATTTCCTAGATGAAAGTCTACTGATCCGAAAATTATAGGGATAAAAACTTACCTTCTCGAAAATTTCAGCCGGGAAAAGGCTCCCGAAAATTCTAGGTGGCCTTTTTTAGGGTCAAAATCCGTTAAAAATGGGTAATTATACCATTTTGTAGATGTTCGAAAATCCTAGGAGAGGCAGGCAAGCAAGATATTTTACAACAAACGCTCCGAAAATTCTAGATCTCAAATCGTCTTCCGAACAGATATTTTCCCGAAAATTGCCGTTGGGTGCCCAAGATTATTGCAGATTTAATATAACTAGTAGTAGTTGACACTACAGCTGCCCCCGTTCTTTATATTGTCGGTCAGTAGTATTCTTGCTGGTTGCGTAGCTCTTTGAAATATACCGATTCATAATGACAGTAATGAAGATTTTCACACATATTCCTTACAATAGGTGAGATAAATACAGGAAACGCAAGGTTCCATGCACAGTTTCAGCTCGATTTACACAGCTTTGATCAAACCATTCTCAGTTTTGAGAATAGTTTATTCTAAACCATAAGAAAAGATTTAATTAGAAGTTGAATTTTTCGCTATTTCTCTTTCCCTTTTTACATTCAGTTTATTTCATTTGCCGGAAAGTAAGCCTTAGAAATTAAAAGGACGTTTGATCGATTCACACTAGCGCATTCTAGTCTTAATTGAAACTTTAGAACGGAAGAACATCTGTGAGCAGGGAATAAGTCAGCGCACAATTTGATTGTCGACGAATTTCTGTAAATGTCCATCAATCTGCTAGTGATAAGCTAGCCGTTGTTCACTGGTCTTGCTTGTTTGGGGCTGAGTCTTATTCCGGTCAAAGAGAGAGAAAGAGTGTCTGGCAAGGTTTCCAATAGAAATCAAAGATTTGTGAACTCGTGTCTGGCAAACTCTCCAAGTGTTTATATATACACAGTTAAACGCATCTTATAACCTCCCCTGCGCTTAACGAGTGTCTTTTGGTCCATAACTTTCAAAACAACTGCTCCACAGAATGTCACTGCGTGACGCAAAAGAGTATCGAAGTATGACTGCACAATAAATGCCACAAAATCTACCTGAGCGGTCCCTTCGGGATTTTCTGCCTTTACGTTATCCTAACCATTTCGTACTTGCGGGCGCAAACAATAGAAACGTCATCATTACCTACCGATTCCTCGCGGCCCCAGTTCGAGCAAATCGAGATTTTTTTCTAGTGTACTGACTACATATTTGAACTGTAAGTACTGTCCTTAATATACGCGCCAGTTACTAGGGTGCCTCCTCGGGATTTCGCCTCTGGGCGAAATCCCTGCGGGGGTAATAAATACGCAGGCGAGTATTAATACTATTTATTCTTGTTCAGGAATACGGTTAATTGAACCGAGCCCTAATAATTAATATAGAAATAAAAATTTGTTAAGATGACTGGTGACTGATATTCAACTTATGTTTAATAATAGTTGACATGAAAACGTCAAAGGCAGCTCGGAGCAAGATTGCCGGTAGACATACAAAGCAAGTGGAAAGTTCTCAAGGAAAGAAGATCACAAGAAAACGATCACGCTCGCTAAGCTCTGAGGAGTCTGGCCACCAGGTAGTGTCAAAGCGAACTCGACGGAAACATCAGCCAGAAGCGAGCAATGACGTCAGTACACGTAACACGAGACGCCGAACACGTGCTTATATCGAATCCGACGACGACGAGGAACAACTGGATTCCAATGTTAAATCCTTTTATGGTCGCTCTTTGAGGCGAACGCGTCAACAGAAAGTTTCCTCCGAAGGTAAATATTGGATCATTTAATATATATATATATATATATATATTTTTTTGCTAATGAGATATGGCATAATGATCTACGTGCTTTTGAAAGCGAAGCGGGTGGAAAAAACTACAAGTGTTTTTTTATAAAAGAAGATGGAGGAGCTCAATTTTAATGCATTCACGGAAATGTTCATATTTCACAATTTTGAACTGTAGTATTGAATGTTCCTCTACCCGCTGAATGATAAACTCAGGAGCTCTACTGAGTGGAGAAGACAGCGTTAGACATATACTGTAACGATCAGTTTCGTTGCTGAAGGCCTTTCCTCTCCAATCTGTAATGTATAAACGAGCCTTTCAATGTTCATTCTGGATATTGTTGACAGATTATTCTGACGATGGCGATGAGTGTAATAGTGAAACAGAAGTTAGGACAAACCGCAAAAAGACTAGACGAAATGCTGGCAGTCGTCACAGCGTGTCTGCTCGAAGATCTACGAGGAAACAACGGCGTATCTCCGACTCTTCTGAAGATCATGACGATGATACCGAAGATGTCCGACAGGTCACGAATCAGCGAACATCAAGGAGTAAAGCAAAGCGTGGCTCAAAACAGGTTTCGACCTCGATTGACGAGTCCGATGAGAGTGGACGTGATAACAAGTCCAAGAGGAGCAGTAGATCCAATAAGCAAGCGGTCAATGGAAAACACACTAGTAAGAGGAACAAGCGCGGTGCGGAAAAAAAGTGCCAGGAAGAAACTGAAATAAGTAATGACGACAAGAAAGGCAGAATGAAGAAAAGTGACAAGGATAAAGGACAAAGCAAGGCCAAGCTTAGAAACAGGTAAACTGGAGAAATTTTGTGTAATGCGGCGTGCTAGCTAACTTGAGAATGAAATTTCGGTTTGTTTTTGTCCTTTTATCATTCATCGCAATACAGTAAAAATCCACGTAAAAACCTATACTTTTGCAAGTTACCTAAGAGGTTCTAAGAATTTGAAAGGTTATTCAGCGTTTTACTTTGATATATGAGAGCGAACTAAAAATTAGCTTGCGAGCAAGTGGGGGAAAGACCTCGCTTGCAGGCTAAGTAAACGGGAGAATTAAATTGTACTCAGTGTGGCTCTATTTGTTAGCTCTACAGCCAAGGAGGGACAGAAAGAAGCAAGAAACACCAGAAGCAAGACACAAGACAACAACAAAGACAAACGGAGTCGAGTGAGCTTAGAAGTAAGTTCTGTCTCTTCTTGGCACCTGCTTTCAACTCCTTCATTTCGCTACTCCTTCCTCTCTCGCCATGTTGTGGATCATTTTGTACGACAGCTCTTTGAGACGAACAAATTTTATCAAGGAACACTAACCATAATAATTTATTTGGTGATTTTTGCAGGCGTAGCATTAAAACTTGGAAGACGTTGGCCCAAACTTTTTCAAGTTTTAATCCCATGTCCCCTGATCCTTGCCATGCGTGTCAATAGACCACAGGAAACAGCGTCAATGCCTAAATATAATCGTGAATGACAAAATTGGACCATTGTTTTTTGGACTTCAATTGATGCGAACAAGGTTTTAGCTTTTTAAAAAGATAGCAGATAGCCCCTTTAAGTCGCGGCAAAAATAAAAGAAAAGACAGTTAAAGAATCATCTTTTTCTGTCGGCCCACTTTTTCTCCATAATGCTGCTTACTGCGCCAAAACGTTTATGCTTACTTATTGCGTTTTGTTGCATCAGGTTTTCTCTGGTGTATTGTAGTAAAAGACACGTTCTATTACTAACAAAACGACTTTTTTCAAAGCACAGATGAGATCTTATACGCTTTCTTTATATTTAGATGAATGCCTGTGAGAAAATTCTACGTGATGTTCTTCTTCATGAGGACAGCTGGCCTTTTGCTGAAGCTGTTAATCTCCGCGAGGTAGGCTATCAACCTGCGGCATCGAAAAGAGTCTGTGTTTCAATTATTCCTTGAGGCTGTTATGCCAATAATAAGCTGGATAAATCACTGATATCTGTTCAATGTAGTAGCAATGAGGAGGAAAACAATAGCAACTTACGTTTTCTAAAACGGATTGGACGCAAAAATAACATTTTATGACTTTTATTGTTTATATAGCGGTGAAAGTATCGAAGTTCTTAGTCTAACTTCATTAACTCTGTTTCAACTGTTCTAACTTGAAAGCGAGTTTATGTTAGTCTAATTTTTATCGCTCTCTAGGTTCCAGACTATTTGCAATTCGTAACCACCCCCATGGACCTGGGCACAATCCGTGAAAAACTCAAGTGCTTGGAGTACCCGGACGTGGAAAGCTTTGTGGCAGACGTACGACTTGTGTTTTCTAACAGTGACAAATACAACCTGGTAATTACACGCTTAAGCTTGCTAGACTTTAAAACTACCTGCAGTGTCTTGAACCTCCCGACAAAGGCCACCTTGGGGACAAAAGGAAGTGACCTTTGTAGAGAGGTTTAAAAAAACGTGGCCCTTGTAGAAAGGTGGTCGTTAGTGGAGGTTCGGCTGTACCTTTAATTGTAGTTTCCCCCTTACCTCTCCTTCAGAAAAAAATATTCCGGGGGCTGTGAGCTGCTTTGGCAACCCCACAAACAGGACATAATTCCTCTTTCTTCCCATGTAGTGTGGCAGAGAAGATTGGTAGATACACTTGGGTTTTATTTCTCATGAACCTTATGCTGAAAGACAGTTTCTGGGTTTCCCTTTGCTGTTAATCAGTAAAAAATGAGCCAGCAAATTGCCGCCACTTCACCGTAATCAAAGCGTGGTCCATTGAAGAAAGTCTTATATAAGAGCTAGTAAGACGCTCAATTTAGGCAGGGGCACCCAACGGCGGTTTCCTCCCAAATGCATTGAAAACACTTTTTAGGCTAAAAAGAAGTACTTTTGCTTTGCAAAAGTTGAGACGACTTTTAGTGTTCTTGTTCGTTGTTCGGCGTAACGTTTTCTCCTTACTAAATTACCCTATATTACGTTTAACACAAGCGTTTTCTTTTCTTGTCTGGTTCGTGATGTGACCCTGTATATGGTTACTCGGTAATGGGCATTAACGATAGACCGTTTAAACAAATCGCCTGATGCTTCTGAACGAGTTAAGAGCAACAACTTTAATTCAAAATCGCTTCGAAATCCATTGAACAAATATTGGAGAACATGTTTAAAAACTAACTCGTGTTTTTGTGTTGCAGGAGTCTTCATTCGTGGGTAAAGCAGGCAAGGCACTAGAAAAATACTTTGAAGACCTTCTTGAAGAAAACTTCTCTGACGTGGACAAGAAATTTAAAGTTCAAAGACAACGAAAGTGATGAATTTTTAATTACTACTGCTCTTCATTTCTAATTTGTATGTGAATTGTTACAGAACAAAAGAATATGACAAAAAATTATAGAATTTTAATTCAACAATTTACAATAATCGTATCGTTAATCAATGTAAAACTGTTCTTTTATAAGAATGAGAATGTTGCTGTGCTGAGCTAATTTTAGTTTTTCCTTCAGAATCTTGGTATTATGAGCAGATGTTTCGGCATTCAATAGAATACTTTCGGAAACTAAATGCTGGCTCAGAAATTAAACAAACTTGCGGATTGTTTTACTTTTGTCACAATTTCTTTTAAGCGAAAATGTTCTGTTCAAAATGTAGAATAAACTTTATCATTGCTTTGCTGTGACCTTGGTAGTAATATACCCGCGGTAATTGTACCCTGGATACCAGAGCATCTTGACGTCTCAATACCATCATGCTCAGCGTGTTTCGTAACGTTCCCCGTGTCAAGGAGAACGTGGTTTATGTCAACAAATGCCTGATGATATTTCAAGCGTAGAATGATACTAGACCCAGCCGGACTGAAGGTGGACTTTAATTTTATTTAAACCTCTCAAAATCAGAGCGCGCACGTAACGTTACGTCTTTGTTTTGAATTTTTATTTGAACGTTATATTGCGCGTGCATTTTTCAGTTGCTTTTAAACGAATATTTGCGTTCAGCAAGTTCCTCAGTTCCTTCAAAATTTTTGTAACTCTTCAGTGTAACTTAGAGGCGAGGTAAGATCTTTTTTAAATATTTCGAAGATCAAAGCTGTGCTGCGCTGTGCTGTAAATATTCTTCTCCAGTTTTGATCTAGACACAGTAATTTTTAAGGAGTTATAATAACTCCTCTAGTGGGCTAATTTAACTCCTTACAGAGGAGTTACTTTTTGGGGAGTTATTTTAACTCCAAAAAGGAGTTTAAAGAACTCTTTTTCAGGAGGAAAAGTGACCCCAGATATTGAGGAGTTAAAATAACCCCCAAAAAGGAGTTATCCTGTACCTAAAATTTTTACTCCAGTTTGTATGTTCCGTTTTTTAACGCGATGTACATGCTGAATGAAAGAATTACGGAACCCTTTTGCTTGCGACCACTCACCAAAGTTTTGACACTAAAGTGAAATGCCCCTACCGGGCGGGCCTCATTTTGGGTCAAATTGGCCGTTTTCACACTAGAGACAGATTATCCCTGTGAGACGGATAATCCATCCTCAAAATCCGTCAAAATTGACGGAAAAACAGATGGATAAAACAAGTCAGGCGGAATGTCCTTCAAAAATTAAGGTCGTTCCATTTTCAAGTTAAGACATATTATCTGTCTGACGCGAATTATCCAATGGATAACCCGTCTCTAGTACGAATACGGCCATTAATACGGCCATTTCCCATTGTACGGAGCTAAGCTCCTGTCAAATGCTCGGGGTAAACCCAGGCTTTCGTTACTTTTAGGGGACCTTCACACTATAGAGGAAAACAAATAGGTGCGCCAGCAAAATGAGGAGTTTAAAAAATAATGTATATTCGACATCAAAGAACGAAAAAAGTGCCAATACTGGTCATTTCTGGATGGTATCTTTTAAGCTGCGAACAATGAATATCGCCCAATTACCTTTCCTTCAAGCGAGAACAATACAGAAAAAAAACGAAAAAAGATTACAATGTAATTTACGCCAACGTCAGGTTGAAATAGAAAATAATTATCTCTTCAAACTAATAAAAAACATGGAAAAAACTTAAAAACTGGATTACAATGTAATTTTCTCCAACGTTGGTTCAAAAATAGAAAAAATTATCTCTTCAAACTAATAAAAAACACGAGAAAGGGCGTTTTCCATTTGTCAGAACTGACCGGCCAGACCATTCCAGTCGTGATGAGAATTCCACTTTTAATCAAAACTATCCGGCGAGGTCAGTGAAATCCTAAACAGTATGCACGAAGGAGATATGAAAAACTGATTTTGCTAACTGACAAGGAGTTTGCAAAATGGATAGCCCTGAAACCGTTAAGAAACATTTTTCAAGGAGGTTGCAAAATCTTGAGAAAATTAAACTAAAAAGCAGTTTATAAGAATTGAATTACGTGATATCCTTTGATTGACTGCGCGAGTCACTACTGGGCGTCGGTCACACACGCAAGCGAGAAAGTAATCATTAATACAATTAATGGACGAGGTTGAGCAAAATACCGTGATTTGTCAGTGGCGAGCAGATTAATTATTTGCCGAAACCGAAGGCTGAGGCAAATATTTGAGCAGCGAGACACTGACAAATCACGATATTTTGCAAAAAGCGAGTTTAATAATTGTTTTATCATTCGATGACCGGGTTTGTTTTTTAATGAATATCTTCTGGAAGCGAAGCGATCATTCTCGGCCCCAGTGCTTACGCTTCTGACTCGCTCTGGAGTCGAGATTGCAAAGTGATCTGCCATTTTCACGCAAAAGCGATCGCAAGAGGGAGAAAAGCGTGGTTTCATTTACGCATGAGCAGAACATCATTTGCAGCCAAACACAAAGCCAAACACAGTTGGAAAACAGTGCGCATAAGCAGACCATTATCCGTAGGCAGTCATTTGCACGTCACGTGGGGAGCTCTCAACCAATAAGAAGGGAGAAGAAATTGCGTGGAATGATAATGGCTCTTATTGGTCCCTAAAGCTGTGATCCTTATGGCCAGCGCCACGGGTTTGCTCCAAATCCAACGCGCAAGCGCAACAGCTGCCATGTTTGTAACCGCGTGTAACGGTTACTGTTTCAGAAGTCTTCGGCTGCAAAGAAACGCAGGGCCGGGTTGCTCAAAGCAGAGTTAAGATAAACCTGGGTTAGTGCGAAATTTAAATTCAGATTTGGAAGCTTAAGAGACAAATTCACGTAAATCCTTTTTGCCTTTTTGTTTACAAATTGATTATTGGATGCTTTGAAAAGAACAGAGAAAATTTGTGAGAAAATGCTTTTGACAAAAAAGAAAAAGCCCGGATGAAAACTTAAACCCGGGTTAGCGCTAATCGGTTTTCGAACAACTGGGCCCACAAGTCTGCCAATCCGGACTTCTGCTTAGGAACCAAGCAGGGCTCTCAATAGTGGCGCTGGCCAAAGTATCGCAGCTCTTAACTCACAACGCTGTTGACATAGCCATACACTTCACCACAGAACAGTTCAAAGTGACATGAGTTCGATTTATTATGTCTTTGAAAATGACTAGGATATGCTGAAGCAACCGTTGCGGCATCCTAAATATGATTCAATTCTAAACAGAGATTACCTACAAAATTACTTCACTTGGGATTCAATTGTTCACAGTATAATTTCTAGCAATAAAAAATCATGATATATTATCTTTAATTATACCAATGAGTTAACACCTATTCTACCTTCTTAGCCCTTTCACACTCAAAGTCATCAATAAGGCAGCATATAATGTAGACCCGACTTTCGAGTCTATGCACGAAATCCTCTAGTGTGACCACTCTAATTGGAAGCTCCTATACAGCGTTTGCACTAGTGATTTTCTAAGTTAAGCAACAAAACAAAAATCGGATTTTTTTTGGCAGTTGTATAATTTATCTGGCCATCTCTGGAAGGGAAGGAATGTTAATAATACAGCCACAAAATTTTCAAACACTAGATAAGAAGACTTTACAACGCGAAAAAGAACAAGCAGTTTGGAAATAACGTGCAGAGTGAAATTCAGTTTATCGTATCTGTATTCTACCACGCAAACTAAAGAACTGGTGAAAGCTTGATTATTTTTTTTTGGCCTCCTTATTTGTCTTGATGTAATAATTCTTCGTGTTCTATATTTTGAATATTTTCCATCACCCTTTCAAGCTAAATGTGCTTATATCAAGTTAAAGCGCGCTCCTATATCCACAGTCACGATGCAGGGATGTCGGATTAAGACTTAATAGAAAGAACATTAAATAAGTTGCGGGCAAGATGACTCTTTAAAATTCCTAAGCCCCGAAATAAAACATTCCTAGCCAACACTGCTTAGGGAAAAAGGAGAGTTTAGAATAATAGAAAAACAACTTCTAAAACAAGAGAGGGACGATCCAGCTTGCCCTAATGGCGTTCTAATAGCTTTCTGGGTTTTGCTGCAGTTTGAAAAGACCTTTAAGACTGGTATTTGCCATGCGCACTTACTATGGTACAACCCACAATACCTTCATTCGCTATAACGAAGGGCTAGCGCTCAAACTGATCACATGAAACGCCCACCTAATAAGAGCATAAAAGCCCGGATGTAAAGCAAAAGCTGTATGCAACTACAAGATATCTACGCCGTCGCCGACATCCAGTTAAACACCGGCCTATTCAGACTTACACAGTGTAAGGCTCATCGTGGCAAGCGACCGGACCTTAAAACACGGACCTTCGGATGAAATGTCCGAATACGCAAAGCACTACAAAGCGAGTGCTCTGTTCAGTGATGAACGCGTTTTTGGTATAAGTAACAACTGACCAGTTTACGGTACACCTAAAAACTGTTACTTCTACCTTTGACCACAACTAACCAATTATCTCTGCCCACCCACCTAAAACTACATGCCAGTTTTACTACCAACGTAACAAACAAAAAAAACGCTATATAGGTGATTCTAATAGACTGTGCGTGTGTGTTTCTAAATACGCGCGCATTCATTTTTCAAGAAGGATATTTTTGAGAAGTAACCTTCCTCACAATTGTACATATAACTATTTATATCATTTTAAATATCCTATCTTTTCTTAAATGATATTGCAGCAGAGCGCATCTTGACAGAAGCTGCCTCGGTTTCCTTCACGGCTTGCCGCACTGCACCCATTAAGTTTTCTGCACATCCTACTAAAGTCTCAGTAGCTTCCATGTCCGCTTTAGGATCTGAAAATTGTAAAAAGTTATTAAGTGTAACTTTACTAAAGAGCTCATACATTTTTCTAGTAACCAACTGATACCACAATAGCACTAAGGAAATAAACATCACTCCTGGCAAAACTTTTTCATAATCGCAAACGCTTTCGGAAGCCTGAGTTATGATGAATTTGACAACCGGGGACAGAGCTACCTGTAAGCTTGTGCGTACCTGACAAAATGTTGAAGATATTTTAAAAAATAAAAAGAGAAAGCAAAAGACATTTTAGATAGATGGGAAATAAGCGATAGTTGAAAAGCACAAAAGGTTGGTTCAGAGTGGCTTCTTTTCTTCTACAGTATAAATTTCTCCAATTACTGATCACAAGGAAGCCATTATTGTCCCTTCTTAAATCACTGTTTCACTCCAATATTCAAGAGCATAGCTGCAACACACTGTCTAAGGGCCCCTTAATATCCGCTTATTTTACATGGGAAGAGCGACCGGACATAAACCAAGACTTTTGTCGCTGTCTTAAATGCTATCAATAAAACGTAGTGAATAAAAAATAACTGATCTATGAGAAATATGAAGCCCGGCTTACCGTTAGCTCCAATCATGGTGGCCTTGACAGTGGCAACAATCTTTAGTTGTGTACTGATGGTAGGTATTCTTTCAATTGTCTGTGCTAGTGTCTAAATAACACCAAAAAAAGCTATGAGAAACCTCAAAAGAACGGACATTTGTTGCTTCAGCCGATAACTGAAAAGATCCACTATGAATGCACTATTCATTATCTTCATTCCCACTTAATCCAGGTTTTCACTCCTCTCCTGACTCACCTGACTGATTCTCTTATCAGGACAGTTCTTAACAATCTTTGCCGAGTAAGCAGACACTTCTTTGCTTGCTGCGGCTATTTCCTTTGCTAATGCGATCAACTCTTTCTTAGAACGCTGAGGTTGGCCTTCTTCTGCATCCCTGAAAAAAGAGAACCAATAGAACATAACTCCAAGGAATAATCTGTTAACAAGCACATACAATCTTCCTACTAAAACTGCGGTCCTTGTGCAACTAAACAGTGTTGTCCAATAACGAGCTTGAGTTGTGATGACGTTGACCACGGGTTTCACGAAGCAAACAGCAGCCCACCCACCTCCCCTAGCTATCTTGCTGATGTCAATTTTACCTCATGAATTGTGACATCTTAGCGAAGAGGATGGCCATCTTCTTAGCAGCTTGAATGAGCTCGTTTCCTTCCTCTTCCCACTTGAGTGCTTCTCTGTGTAAATGATGGGCCGCCATCTAAAATATCAAAAAAACTTGATCATTCAAAAGTCTCTTCAAGGTCGTGACTTACTGAATTAACCGCCTAAGGGATGCTGTTTATATTGTTCCTTGGTTACAACCCAAATTCCTAACTTAACTTTGGTAGGCTTTCTTGCAAGGCAGTCGAAAATTCCCGAACAGAATTTGTTTGAACGGTGCGTTTCAGAATTTCCACATTTCAAGCAGTTTCTGGGTGATTCTGTAAATACGTCCTGCAGCAGCTGTGGAAAGGCCCGTAAAATGGAACACGCGTACGTCAACGCGCCCCTTCTGAGTTTTGAAGCGACCGCTTTAAGGCATATTTGACTACTTTTTCCGATTTGCGACATTCTCATTGCCCATTATACACCTTGTTTGACCCCCTCCCTATCTCGATTATTTAATACACTCTGTCCCCCCCCACCCCAAAAAAGAAGCATTTGCAAAACAACAGTTTATGCAAACTCTGGGGCGCAAAAACAGCACAAGACGTGGGATTAGAATTATTTCCTTCAATTTCTCTTGGGACAGCTGTAACACCCAGGCCCGGGTTGCTCGAAGAATGGTTAGTGCTAACCAGCGTTAAATACCAAGGACCTATACATTTTGATACCTCTTAACCAACGGTTAGCGCTAACCAGGCTTCGAGCAACCGGCCCCAGGAGACATTGAAAACAACACTTAGGCAAACTGGGGGGGGGTAAACAAGTTGATTTTGGGCAATGCCAAAGTGGAGAATTGAGAACAATGATCGTTGCAACTTGTAAGTAACAAACATACCGCCATTCTGTTGTCCTCGGGTGGTTGTTCTAAAACTTGTTGAACTTCCACCATCTCATTAGATGGGAGGGGTGGGCGAGGAGGTGGCGCAGTGGCCTCTGTAGGGAGAGGTGGGCGAGGAGGAGGCACTTCCTGAACAGGTGCTGTCTCTGTCCAGTGAAAAAAAAGTGATAATAAATATAAAACACAAAATCGACGTCAGAACAAAGGCTCATGTCTTATGCACGCCATAAATCACTGTCCTGTCTGATAACCACAGTTACTATGCATTCATAATATTTCTCCATTTCTGATTGACTCAAATCACCCGACTGATTCTTCATAATCATCTAGGGGTGACAAAATTCGGAAGACGTTTGCGATATCCAGTAAAATGACGTCAATGGTACAGGATATTGCCAGAAAGAGGGACGGTGACCGGGAAACCCTGGAGACGGGAGCTGGAGAAAATGGCAGAAAATTTCAGACGATTTGGGAAGAAGAAATAGACGAACTACTGCCTAACAACATAGCAAGAATGGCTATGGTAAAACACGACCTGAATTTGCCCAAAAAAGGGTAAATGACGGAAACGAAGACGGTAACTGAAAATCGATCGAGGTAAGCATGTTTTAACTTGCTTTTAAAGCTCGAATCACTTTGAATGAATAAAAGTAAAACAACTAATGGATTCTCTCCCTCGCTGAGAGTCTTATTACAATTCCCTGGCTGATGCAGGCCATTAAAGGCAACTAGATCTAAAGCACTTTCATCATAAAGTTCTGCACGGTGGGTCAACATAGGTTTTAAAGTACTCACCGATATGAAGTCCTGAAATATCTGGAGGAGGTGGAGGAAATTCTTCTTCTTCAGGTTCGGAAGGACCGCAAACAATAACACGTACATCAGACACAGCATCTTGCAGCTAAAAATTACAGTAACGTACAC